TTTTGCAACTTTGAGTTTTCAAGATCACAACTAATTAATATTCATGAAAAAATTGGGACCAGAGAAAAAAGTCCGGATAATCGAATAGTCCGGATAATCAAGGTCCAGATAATCGAGGTTCAACTGTACAGAGCTGTTTTATGCACACATTCTTAATATGAACAGAGGTTCTCTTCATGCAAGACATTTCAGGTGTACATGTATACACCTCTCTGTTTGTAGATACAGATTGACTAAAAATGTCTTTGCGGGCCCAAACGTTTCCGAGGCTTTTGAGAAACAGGCCCCTGATCTCATTTTGCAGCAGTCAATGTGTCATACCTTGTGGCCCTTCTTGTATGTATCAGGATGGAACACTGCATCATATACAACACACTTCTTCCCAGCTAAACCAAAAACAAATGGAAAAGCATACCGTGATAATTATACTTTTTTTTAGTGTTTTAAAATGCAGTATTTGCACAACGTGCAAAGAAAGTCGTGTTCTATATTGTGGGGCTAGTGGATTCTGTCTGATACTTACCTGACAGGCTAGCAAAGTTTCAAGGGAACATTTTTTTAGCAAATTCAGACAAAAAAGTACTATAAGAGATGTAATTTTTGGGGACTAGTGAGCATGGCTTTTGGGCTAGTATATCATAGTTACAGCTTGTCCCAAGTACAAGTCTGCAAATTGGTTTTCCTCACACCCTGCTTGGAAGAGATAGCAACAGATAGCTGAATCGAAAATAATTCATCAACAATTATTTGAAAGTGTTTTCAACCATTAACAGCTGTGAATTTGTCATATTGTTGGTCTTGAAATTAAGGCCATTTCTAAAATTACTATTCTTCCATTCATATCAAGTAGCTGAGTCACTGTCATNACTATCCCACATTCCTTTACAGGATCTCTCTTTGTAAAGACTCAGAACTAGATTCTCCTTACTGACGTCAATATTACAGAGATCAGCGTCCAGGTTATGATCATCCGGGAACTGTAGATAGAGGGCATAATCCGGGGAAGGCAGTTCCCCGAGTCGGGGCGTACCGGATGGGAAGCTAATGTATGCCTAAAAAAGGGTTAAGAACATACAGTGATACGTTAGTAAACATCAACAGGCAGACTAACAAATTCCGCTCATACAGCCGGCTTATGCAACTTTGTAAATACACACATACTTTATTTATTCAAGATACAAACTAGATATACAAATGAAAACACAAAAAATAAGAAAAAAGGAGCATCTAGGAAAGGAAGTCACGAGGTTACCCTAATGTGAAAACTCCCTTAGGAAAAAAGTACAATAAAATCAAAATTAAAAGATTGTAATCTCAACAGGGGTGGGGTGAGGCTGTCCTGCTGTAATTTTGGCCGTCTTTCACGCAGCCCTTGAATGTTGAACTGATTAACTCATTGACTAACTGATCCTGACTGACTGAACGAACAAGAACAGAAACCACGAAACAACACAAGTCTTGTAATGACGATTCTCGCTTTGCTCTACGCTTTCTATCACGCCTCCCAATTTCTTTGTACCCTGGGCTTGAACATTAAACTACTATATTACAATGTTTGATTCTCAAGACATAATAAGCACAATAATATTGACCTTGTTTTTCTTGAAACCGAGGGAGACGGTGTCGAGGGCGATATCTGCGACGTCAATGACAAATGTGATGACGTCATCATCCTGGTGGTAGTTGTAAGGCGGACACGTGAAGAAGCATGGAGATGAGAAGTCTAAGAAAAGAAACAACAGCAAAGATTTATCAAGCCACAAGTCAAAGTAGTTATGAGGTGTTTACTTATGAGAGTCAAGAGGTACCTGAATCGGATGAGCTTGGCAGCTTGAATCGGATGTCTGTGCTATCTTCATCCTCGAGACTGTCCAGTAATTCATTCTCCGCATTACGCTGCAGTTTCTTGTTCCACCAAGCAGCGTTGGTATTGTCTTCTGAATTCTCCTCCGTAGAATCACCTTCACGTGGTTTCATTCCATCACGTGGCAGAGTATTATCAATAAATTCTTCTGCGCTTGACCGAATTGAATTCAGCTGTTCGTCATTTGTGCATTGTAAAACTTCAACCTGTTCTTCTGTATCATCTCCTTCTCCTTCACCCTATTTGTATAATAGACAAGCTTCAGCTCTTAGTCGAATAAAAATGTAAATGTTTAAAGTTGCGAGGGAAGCATTCCTGTGATCACGTCACTGAGCAAGGGTAATTCTTCAAGAGTAAAGGGTCTTTCCAGTGATAATAAGAACAGCCAGTGTAAAAATAAGTCGAACTATTAAAACCCTTAGAATCAGTGGCAAGAACCGGAAGGCCAACACCTTAATTGATTGGAACACGTCGAGTTTTGTGAACCAATATAAACATATTTCCTACAGTTTCGCTACTCTTATAAAGCACTTTCCATTTACTCNTTATTTATATATTTATAATTACAATCTTGTAAATTCTTTTAGTTGTTTACAGTAGTAGAAATAAACTGTTGTTGTTGTTGTGTTTCTTTGCTTTTGCATCCATAAGGATCATAACTGGTTCAAACTAAATATCTCGTCCAACGCGCTGAAGTCAAATGGGGATTCTTTTTACCGCCAATAAGTGTTGCAAACAAAATTAATTACGATCTACTCGTGCATTTTTCCGGCGTTTTCCAGGAGTTTCATTTTTTCGCCAATATCCTGACTGGCTCTCTGTCTCTAAAGTGGCTGTCTTTCAATTGCTTTGGTTTCAGTTTCTCCTTAAATTTTCAGTCGAAAGCTTCTAATGAACCTACCAATTGTTGAGTCAGTAGAGCTGGTAACACGGGTAATGTAACAGTTAGTTGCCTTTTGCTCTTGTCAAACTTAGCGGAGCCATTTTCTTCGTCAACTGGATATGGAAGTGATATTTTCGCAGCGTTAAGGCAAAATAGGAAGAAAATTTTAATTAGTACTTGGGGTTGCAGATGAGTTCATGGTGACCACACTAGCGAATGTTATCTATGTAGAAGCTATTTACGCTTTTAACGAAATCGTTTCGCAACGAAAACTTGAAATGACTCAAGCATTACAGGGCGTTATTCTTGGCGAAATCTCTTTCACCATCTCACAGATAAGGTCAGGAAAAACATATAAAACCACCACTTAAAAAATACAATAAAGTAACAAGGATATTTCTAGACTGTAAGGAGGATTCTTGCAGACCAACTTCAGCTTCTTCTCAAGAATATCTAACTCCACAGGAGCGGCAGATTCCTACAGAACATAAAAAGAAAATTATTTTTTACTCTGTTTCTTTTTTTGAAATGAGAAAGGGAGTGTAATACATGCATGTGTGGTGATGTAAAATTTCTCTCGAAATTGAACAAGAATGAGTTATTTGCATGTGCAGTGTGTGTAACTTACCAACAGCGGCAAATCAACATATACAAGAAGTTCTTTAGGTCTTGTACTTTGATTAGAATCTCTGTAAGTAAACCAAAGCTCTGAATAAGACTTAGTTATACCAGTCAACTTCAGAGGACAAACTGACACCATTCAATGTAAATGAGTGCAAATTATTATCTTATTCTAACAACACCATATATTTTGTTTATCTCTGTGAAAGGGGACGTTATTGTAGATTGTAAGAGGTTGGAAATTAAAGAGCAAGAAGTAAATCGAAGGTTACACCAAAACAACAGATATTAATACTATCCAAAGTGTGCTTAACTGGAGAAACAGCTAATTTTTGAAGTGAGAAGTTACAGAGTCATGAATTTCAGTTGTTAGGTACAGATGAAAATTTGATAAATAAACTGCAGTTTGCTAATGTGGAAATTACAAGACAGCTTCTAATCAGAATCTTCATTGGTAAGGATAGTTTTCCAGACAAAAGAATTCAAAGAGCAAAACTATTAAAAGCTTTCATCAACACACACACACACACAATAATTTTGTCCAGTATAAAAAGGTGTTGCTGGTTTTGTTTGTGAATACAACTAGCTATCATCTTGAGGCCTGGTTGACATAAGATCTGACAAAACGTAATCACTTGATTGAAATTGCAAATGCTATCAATAATATTTGGGTTACAACCTTGCATGTGTAAAGTTCTGAAGGTCAATGTGTCCACGATGTACTATTTTATACTCTGGTACACTGGAAGCACTTGTCATCTTTTTCTGTTTCTCTTCTTTGCTAACCATTGTTTTCCTCTCTTCTTTTTGTACTGTTGGTTGGTCACTGTAAGGGTAGGGGAATTTCATACCACCAATGCTTAACTCAGCAGAATCTTCAGGGACCTGAGCATTAATTATAAATTATAAATATCATTATTATTACCGAGCTTAAAAATTCACCATCTTTATTCACTTATCACTACTCCTGATGACTTCGACAGTGCTGATCCTAGCAGTATGCAGGACACTTGTCACATATGAACTCAGTCAAATGACTTTGCTCTCCATGAGTTCTCCTAGCTCAGTGGATAGAGCACCCACCTGGTGTTTGGGAGATCATGGGTTCAATTTCTGTCACTGAGGGACTCAGACTTTTTCTTTGTCCCACGCTCGTGTCATGCTGATCAATTCACCTTTCACATTTTATTACCCAGCTTAACATTCACCAGCTTTAGTCACTTATCAATAGCATTGTTATCAGGGAAATCATATCACAAAGGAATTAAGCTGTTTTCACTGTTAAAAAAGCACTGTACCATAATTACCTCCTTTGTCTTTGTTCTTATCACTGAAGATTGCTTGACCCCCTTAAACTTCATCTTTGGGAATTTCAGATCTGAAAATGCAAAATACATATAACCAGCATGACCACTGAAGTTTATAATGGAGCTTTGATGTCAGTGCTCTGTCCATTGGAAATTAACAAAGAAAATCTCTACTGCTAGCAAGACAGTATGTTTACATAACAGCATCATCTTTGTAGACCTTTATGGGTGACAAATAAGTCTGCAAATCCTGTCAACCCTCTTTGAATCAATGTAGTCTAAGTTTTTTTAACACCTTTCTACTGGTTGTGTGACTAAATAGTAGATGACAATCATGCATTCAAGAAACATAGCACTTCTTAAGGCTTGGCTATAGAAAATTTGAGAAGTGTACATTCACTGCAAATGTCAATGCAGTCTAAATGATTGTGATATGCTAGAAAATTAAAGAACTAAATTATCCTAAACGAAGTGCTCATCTCATTGAAACCAGGTCATTCTGTAAGCAATTCACTCACTTTTTCGGTCCAGTGTTACACTGAACTCCCTGTGTATCCCATCAAAAGCAGTGTCAATCATCAACTGTTTAAATCTCTTGTCCTGTTGCAACCAAAAATAAATTATTATAAATAATAACAGACATAGAGACAAAGGTTAAGATGAAAAACTACACTATACATAATACAGCTATGTCTCAATACTGGACCATACTACACTGAATTATGATTGGTTAATGTACAAACCCAGTACAACCCTTGTAATAAGTGTCACCAATTAGTATGGACAATGCTAGAGTAAACGACACTGACTTTTATTACTGAAGTTCACTACTTCTACTAGTGCTACTACCACTAGTTGAAAGAGCTAATTAATACTGGGTCCTGGGGCCCGTTTCTTGAAGGTCCCAAATTGTTTTCGCACCCGGAAAGCTGTAGCAAAATCTCAAAATTTATGACTACAGTCGAACCTCGATTATCCGGACTCGTCAGGACCTCGGTAAATAGTCCGGATAATCGAGAGTCCAGATAATCGAAAACACGTTTATTAATGAGATAGAAATGTAAACAAAAGGTATACAGAAATCTACACAGCCTGTATGTATTTACAAATAAAAACCTTCTGTTCAGGTATTTACAAAGGTCTAAAATNCTTCTTGGTATGCTTTGGCGGCATATCAGGTTCGGTTAGTCTTGCAATGAGTATTTTGGTTCAGCTACATCTTGCCAAAATACGAACCACGGCTCGACCAAACTTGCCTGATATGCCACTGAAGTGTACAAAAAAAGGTACAATTAGGTATAAATATTGTAATAACAGTATTTTTTTTTCAAATTCATTAAAGTTATCTTTGCAGAGGTTAAGAGAAGTGAATTGAAATAAATATTGGTTTATGCCATCTTTTTTTCCAAACTTGTCCAAACTTGAGGTCTTTTTCAGACATATCACAAGCTGACATTATCTTTCCAGTAGATTTACGTGGGACTTGTATAAGGATATACATTATACTGTTATCTCTTCAGATGCTCCAGTGGCCAGCCGCTCTCTAGTGACACTTGGTGTGAATCGTCGTCATGAAATTTTGTACAATTTAGGAATTCAGCTTCTGTTTTCTGGCCGACCCATTGTAGCATTTGACTGTCTGGTTGAAGCTGTGCAAATTTACCACACAAATCCTCGTCTCTGGCTGCGACTTGCCGAGTGCTGTATTGTAGCTTTCCAGTTGGTAAGTAGCATGTGATTAGCAGTCTGTTTATTCAAAGTGTAAATTGTACTTTCTTAGCTTCTTAACCAGCCAGTAACAAATATAGCTACTTCTTAAGCCTGGTTTTCACTATGACAAAGGCACAAGCAGAACAAAAAATTCTGTTCTTCTTGTGTTTGTGCTTATGTTTATATTGAGTGAAAACGTACTGCTGCAAGCATAAGCATAAGGGAAAGTCTGCCATCTTGTTTTACTGTATCAAGGAGCTGTGGAACTGAAAAATGAAGTAATTATCCATTCCATGCATATGTCAATGCTTGTACAGTCGAACCTCGATTATCCGGACTCGTCGGGACCACAGTAAATAGTCCGGATAATTGAAAGCATGCTTATTAATGAGATAGAAATGTAAACAGAAGGTATACAGCAAAGAAAACATCATTTTAATTGTGAAATCTACACAGCCTGCATGTATTTACAAATAAAAACCTTCTGTTCAGGTATTTACAAAGGTCTAAAATGTTCAAGCATGTTTGTTTGCTTCAAAGACTTGTACATGTATCTTGATCAGGGACTTTCATTTTAATCCTTCGCTTGTCTCTATTCTGTCAGTAAATTTTAGGATCTTGTCTTTGTTCTTCCGTATGTCAGAGATCTGCTGCTTGCTGATGCCAAATTCTTGAGCTAAATTTGTTCCTTTCTCTCCTTTATCCAAGCGTGAAATAATTATCTACTTATCTTTAATTGATAGAACGGNGAGAATGGCATTGTATAGTACCTCTGTCAACATCATCTCTAGGTTGGGACAAGCTGTAAGGAATATTCCACTGATGACCAGCTCTCCTATATTTAAAAAAAGATATGTTTAACAAGAGATCATGCTTCAGCATTTGATAGTAGAACAAAAAGGGCAACACCCACAGTCACAAGCAACCACTTGCCAGGGTTTTGCACAGGCTCTAAAGGTTCTCGGACTGGCCAACAAATACATGATATTACACAAAATTCAGTGCCAGCAAATACCAAATAATGGGTACCAAATTTCAAGCAATCAAGTTTTAAACTAGGTCTAACTGATCATAAATGAATCAAAGTTCCAATAAAGGTTATAAAAACAGATATATTTCTTTTGATTACTCCCTTTATCTTTTTCTTAAAACTTGTGCTCAAAGAAGAAATCAACTTATTGCAGCAGACTCCATGATTAAAATCATTTTGGGGTGATGTAACACATTATCTTTTGGCCTTTCATAACTAGTACTTTATACATTGTGATCCCCTATCCCTGCTCAAACAGATTTTTAGCCCAAAACTGAATATCATTGTTATTTTCGTCTACAATGGAGGCACGGTGGCCTCATGGTTAGTGCGCTTGACTCTGGATCAAGTGGTCCGCATTCAAGCCCTGGCCAGGGACACTGTGTTGTGTTCTTGGGCAAGACACTTTACTCTCACAGTGCCTCTCTTTACCCAGGTGTACAAATGGGAACCAGCAAATTTAATGCTGAGAGTAACCCTGCGATGGACTAGCATCCCATTCAAGAGGGAGTAGAAATATTCCTAGTCACTTTATGCTACAGAAACTGGGATAAGCTCCAGCCTGATTGGTCACTTGGCTCATATGCAAACTTTACCTTTTTTCATTTCCCTACAATGCATTGGCAGTATCTACAAAAAGTTGTATACCCACTGGAGAGATTGACAAAGGAAAATGCTGACTAGGGAATCTTGATGTACCTCCAGGAGAAGCTACAGGTTTTATTCTCAAACTGGTACATTTACCCTGTTGTTATTTTAGGATTTTACCAGTTCGTATACTGGTAGTGTGATCATCTCTGTGAGGGTAGTTCTGAAAACAACTGTAAGTTGTTAGTGACTAAATGTTTTGACAACTTCAGAGTGGAGGGATCGGTAGTCTGTTCACCCTGTATACTTTTGATTATTGTGACAAGTCTTTTACATAACAAGCAAGAAACCTACTTTTTCCCATTCTCCTCCTTTTCAGTATATTGTGACGAGGGTTGTCCAATGTGCTGATTAGAGCACATGTTGACAAATGCTTTCAAACCACTACTGATATCTGTTGTTTTTACAACATAACCATCCTTAAGAAAAAGCAACAGAAAATAACATTCATCAGAGACACACAACAAGTTATGCCGGAAGGGGGGGGGGGGGGGGTAAGCAGGTAATGGTTGGGCTCGGGAAATCTTCATCATGATGGGCTCAGGAGTCAGAGGTTTACTTTTTATAAGCTGTGTTCTAATGACACTCTTCTTCCATGGCACAGTAAATATTTCACATTACAATAAGAAGTCTACAGTTCTTGCACCATTTTAAACAGAGGGAAGGCAGGAGATATCAAGCCCATACAATATCTGTCTATACAACCCTGAAGAACAAACTATCATTTTAAGTTACCTATACTTGTAACAGATATTTCAGCCTACAGAGGATTCCAATATTAGAATACAAATACCAAAGTGGCAATGTAAATACTGTGTGTCAATAATTCACCTCTGGATGAACAAACTTCACATCCATTCCTCTCATTTTCTCCATCTCTGCTATTTCTTCCTCATATTTCTGTTAGAAAAATGAAACTGTTGTTGTTAGTAAAAACAGTTTGGTGTTTGGTGTTTGGTCAATAAAATTATTCAAACACAGCCTTCAAAATAACCTAGGTGAGTCACATGGTATAAACAGCAATATCAAAAAGTCTTGAAATGTGGAGAAAGACGTAAAGACATTACGATCTTTCATTTATTCATGCTATACTTTCTTTATCGATGGGTATATTACAAACCGAAAATGAGCCCATCTCCTGGTTGGTTGGTTTGATAGCTCAGTTGGCAGAGCACTGCATGAGTTCAAATCCCATTCAAGGCTGAGTGTGTGTGTATTTTTTTTTTTTTTTTTCAGGCTTTAATTTATTAGCTGTGTATATAACTGTGATGATCATTCATGTCAGTATATCTTTCACCACAGTTCAGATAAATAATGTTTCAGATGTTCACTCGTATTCTTCACCATCTATGGATACACTACAAAATCACAACAGTTCCAAGTTGGCTTGATAGCTCAGTTGGTAGATAACTTTTACCAGTGTCACACAGGTCATAAGATCAAAGTCATCTTGTTCAAGCCAAATTTTTTTCAGGCTTAAATTTCACAGCTGCCTAAATTGTGTTTATAGCTACAATGATCATTTATGTCTTTAATACCTGTTATGTTACAGACACTGGAGTAAAATAATAGTATTGAATGAGTCCATGTGGTTCATTTAAATCCTTTGGTCTAGAACTAATTCTATCACAAAATATATTTCAAGGGTGGCTCAAAGGATTGAATCAACAAACCTTCTTGTTTTCTGGGTCAGATATCTCTTTAGCGTATTCCACAAGTAATTTTCGAAACTCTTCATCTTTCATTGCTTTTTCAAACTTATCCAGCTCCTGAAATGGAAGATTTAATCATGTCAACAGCAAAAGGTAAAGCTGTTTATAAGCTCAAGACATTTAAACTTTAGAGAAATTTACAATTGACGTAAACTGCATTGTTTTTGCTGAATTTAATGCGATAATTTATCATCTACATTTATTGTATTATCATTGACAGTGCATTTTCACTCAAGCTACAAAATATCTGAGAATATGCACCAGTACCTCAGATTACCTGAATTTAACTGAAGGGACGCACTGAGAAAGACCCGAGTCTTGATCTCATGTGCTGACAATGTCGAACTCTACTTTTTCGTAAAAAGACGCACCAGGCATTTTTTAGGAGAACCTCTAGCAGTCTATCAGATGTCTCTGCTCGTCTTCCACACAACCCTTCAATTTGGCTTACCATTAATTTTGTCGTTGCATGCAATGGTTGCGGGAGCGTTGATTTCTAACTGTTCAATATTTTTTGTCATTTTATGACTTGTACTCAAGATCAATTTATTTCACGTTTGCTTTTTTTTGTTTGTTTTGTTTTGTTTTTCTGTAGGACAATGAGTCAACAAAACAGAACAAGGCATAGGCAGTCTTCAATCTCAGGATATAAAGTTTTGATAAACGTCATTCTCACCTCCTTTGTCATAGTGAATTCCTTATTAGTATTGGTTTGGGACATTTTGGACGTAAATTTTGCAGAAACCAGCCCACCTCCTAAGAAATATAACGAACCAACAGAAGCTCAACCAGTATTTTCTGTTTGTTTCTTCCGAAAAGCTTGGTAGCTAAGTCATGGAGAAAATGGTTCCCAGGCCTCTCTCATGCTCGGCTTTCCAACATACCACGAACGGACGACAACGAGAACATGACTAAACAAAAGGTTTAATGAGTAGAACCTGGAGTAGAACAAAAGCTGTGCACGTGCGTCATAAATTTGCCGTCCTCTGCAAAACAAGAACGTAAAATGACCAACTTCTGCGTAGTCTGAGGAACGCGAACGACGACGGTTAATTTTTCTTATTTCCATTTCAACTGAACGCTGTCATTGCATATTTAGCCTCAGCACTTTTTTGGAGTCATTGGCGTACTAAAGAGATTTAGACAATTGCACATTTCGCAGGTAAAATATAAATTCATTTTTGACTAGGCGCCGTCCTCGGTGTCGCCTTCGTCGTTGCTTAAGCCCCCTAATTATAAGTTATACGTTACAATTTCAATTTCAGGCTCTATACAAATATATTTCACCAGTCAATCAATTTTGTGGCCTTTCTGTTAGAATCATGATGTCTTTGGTCATCCGTTCTTTAAAGCCTAGAAAAATAATGAGATATCACCCCTCAGATCCCGTCCATGTTCTTCAGACTTTTTGCCAATGAGAGCGGCAGAAGAGTCTTTTTTAGCATAGGGGTAAAAATGGTGCGGAATTACAAAAAAGTTACCACCGAATCAGCCGAGGGACTGAATTTTTTCCCGGTTCACTTCTAATACTACTAAATTTAAATGCATTATTGCATTTAGTCGTGAAAAGACTGACCACAGAAATGGCTTACAAACTGGTAGTTTGATAAAAAAGAAATCATTTCGGGAAATCAGCTGCGCTCTAAATTTATTTCTTAGACTAAAGACACTTAACAAGAAAAATAAATCTTATCCGTTTTGGCTCCTCCCCCTAGCATTGTATCTACTGACTATGGAGTATTCAGTATAAATCATCAACAACTTTCTAAACTAAACTCTTTTACTTACAAAGTTAACAGACTTTAATTTCGGGGAAGAACTTGTCTTATAGAGAGCGATTGAGTATAAGGTCCCTACGTTATGCATAAATATCACCCAAAAGTGGAACAAATAGGAAATCTTTAAAGTACCCAGGTGAAATTACGTCACCAGTTCCCCTGGCAACGTTCTTGAGCGGACCTCCTCTGAACGAAAAATCAAAAAATTGATATAACTAACTCGACAAAAAACTTTGGTGGCCATGAATTCCCCAGGTGCCGCGTCTGGGAGTGGATCAAGTGTTCATATGCCCGGTAAGGTGAATTTTCTTTCTATATTAATATTCTCAATGAAGTGCTTGAAGGTAAAATCTGAAGAGGCTGTAGGTTTCGTTGTAGAAATCTACGAAATATACCTGAAGAGGAAATTTCGAGCGCTGTAACAGTAGTATTCCGGGTAACTTGATAGCCGATAAAGTGTTAACTTTAGAAAAAAGGAAAATATTATTACGGTTGTTTTCGTGTAACAGAATGAACTGTCACTTCCTTGATTTCGGATCTTTTTCTTTGACGTGTATGTCCACGATAAATTTTTCTCATGTGCGAAACTCGTTTTCGCACAAAGCGAAACTTAGTTAAAGGCGGCCCATGTGTATAGATTATTTGTTTCGCGAAGCGTTTGAGTCAGAATTGAGCTTGAAACGTCCAGAAATGTCACAGGTTGTCTTAGCTGTGAAAAAGACGAAATAATTATGTTTTGAATGTTCAACCACAAAGTTAAATTGCATAATAACACTTTCTACAAGCTATGAATATGTTGCTTGGTAAGCAACTCTTTTTGACACACAAGGGACCATACAGACACGAATATGGAAACAAACTTAATGGAAGTCGCCCCCAACCTCTAACTGATTGCGGTGTGATTTAGTACCAGTAAGGGACAGAGGCTTATACTAGATGATACCTAGATATACGAGGACGTCTAGCGGCTATGACTGATTTAAAGGTGACCTGTTACACGAAGGAATCTCTAAAACATCCAGAAATGGAACTACCCCACAAACTGGCCAGCCGGTGTAAAGTATTTTTCGCGAGTCAAGATCACCGCCTGTGCACGACAATTCTGATGAGTCGTCTCATTTATAAAGGCATGGTCAGGTCTACATTATTCAGTTTCGTCTTAAAGATGTGATTCGTTAGAGTTTGCCTTCTTTTTGATGTGTATAAGCTGAGCAGATAATTTTTTTCTCTGCCGGTTTAATTTTCAGTCGCCTCCTCATATGATGTTGAATGCCATTCCAGTGAAATCTTCGAGACGTCAAGAACTGCCTGTCTTAATTGTGTGCCTTTGATCAAATTTCTCTTTGCCTTCCTGGATGCTTGCCTTCGACAGGCTTTTTTCGGTTTAATCGATAAAATAACTGCTTATTGATTCAACAGTGTCATCTCAGCGAAACTTAGCTAACAAGGCCGACAGTGACGGAGAAAACGTGGCGGACATCCCGCAACTCCACAATTCCTCTTTTATCATTGATGATCGCGAAGATTTTAAAGATGAGTCCCTCTACACGTTCTGTGGGTCCTGCAAAAATCATGTGATGACCATGGTGACGTACAAGGCTGGTAAGCTGACACTGCTCTTTGCAGTCGCGCTATGCTTTCTGGGATGTTTTGGGGGCTGTTGCCTTGTACCGTTTGTATGGAAACGCTTTCAAGACGTAGAACACGTGTGCCCAAACTGCCAGTTAAAGTTAGGGAAGTATAGACGGCCGACTAAAAACATCTGCTGCAAGGTAAGTACTGTTAAAAAGCTAAGCACTGTTTCTTTGAGTTGATAAAAGGCATCAACAATTCAGTTAAAACATTGAGGAACTAGCTAGAAACTATTGGACACAAAACAATAAACCATCAGAGCTTAAAACTAAAACATACCAGTTGGCCATTGGAGTATCACTTCTAGCAAAGTTTACGAGACAAACACTCGCCCTTACGGTTTTTGCATCAGTGGTCACGTGATTTTACAACCTGACACGAGAAGCTTTGTGAATAGACAGTGACAAAAACTTTGACAGGATACCACTGCCGGAAAAGGCAGCTTTAATATCATTTACAGCATTCTCATAAAACAGTGTTTCGAGTGTAGCGTGTCATAAAAATCGTCTTGTGGATCCGGCAAAGAACAAATTTGCATTCCAGCCTTCTCTTATGTCTTCGTTCCTCAATCTCATTGCCCACGTGATCAAGCGATGCAAAATCCTCCTACTTCAAAGAGTCATTTGAAAAGTGCGCTTGATCTGCGATTGGTTCGTTCAGGTAAGAGTAAGGCCTAGTTCAAACTAGCCACACATATATAAGAAAGACGTGATGTCGCTAGTGTGAACATCCTGACATAACGACATAATAGCAAATACCGTAAATCCTCGAATTAGCGCTTCCCCTCAAATATAAGCCCCACCTTTGAATAAGTGCCCCTCCTATCGGCCAAAATTTAAAATAAGCGCCGCCCCCCCTCGAATAAGCGCCCCCTCCCCTCCCCCTGGCATATAGAGGAGTGCCGAGACATTTTGATCGTGTTCAATCACAAGCAAGTGATTATCGACTCGTTCAAGCACTGCACGTTGACCGTCGCAATGGATGGTAGTGAAGATCCGCTGATACATTACCTAAAGCCCAACCAACCCTGTGCAGCAGGCCTAGCGCGAGGACTTACGGTAATGACATGAACATAACGCTAAAGGGAAAAAAAGCTGATCTTTTCCTCGTGTCGTTATGTCGATGTTCACATTACCGACATAAGCGACTGGATTACGTCGTTATGTCACTATGTCTTATGTCGCTAGTGTGAACCAAGCCTAAGAGAGCACTGTTAAACTTGCATGGCACGAGCCAGTGAAGCGATGAGCATCTGACGGTCACCTTAGACTCTCGCACACTCTCCGTGGATGAAACCGTGATGTAATTGCAACAATGATTTTTGATATAAAGCAAGTTAACCACGTGTTCTTTCCTTCCTTTTTATCTCCAAATATAGAAGTAGAAGCAAAACAAGATGATAGCGTGGCTGGTCGACTGGATCTGTCACGCGACGGTCACAACTCTGAACCTGGCAAGAATTTATCGTCTGTGATCGTTGTCGCCAAAACCAAGTTTGCTTGATAAAAAATTAGCATTCTTTTCTACTGTTCTATTCCTACTATTGTAACAACTTCACAAGTGATTACATGCTGAATAAAAACAAAATATTCTGAATCAAGAAACTTCAAATGCTTTTTGCAACCCTTTTCATGATTAACTTCTTCATTTGCATTATGCAATGTTTCCGACGTGGGTGCAAGGCGACTTCGGGTAGAAACTTCATAAACGGCCTAAATTGCCTGGCATACATGCTAGATTTTCTCATAATGCAAATCCGAAAGTTAACCGTGAAAAGGGGTATTGCCTCCAGCTAATTTGTTGGAATCTTGTTTTAATATCACCAGCTCAGGGTTTTTTATCGCATGGATGCGAGTTCTCACAGGTGCGGGGTAGGAGTGCACAGTGGGGAGTGGGGAATAGCATTCTTTTTGTAAGTCGCGCCATCATTGACCCTTGTCATTGAGACGTCATTTGCTGGTTACCAGGCCTGAAAAAAACTATGCTTCACAGAATCATGGACAGCGTTATTTTAATTGTAAAAGATGAGAACAAACATTTTAACACTTTACGAAAGGTCTGTGATAAGTTTAGATCCGAGCTTACTGTCTGTAGAAATCCAGACAATACTATCGTTACGGAATTCACTAAATATCTAATTCTTCGGCACTGACCCTGTTGAAAATAAATAAATTTATCACTGAAATAACCCAGGTGAACTATAACGTTAACATAGCCTGGGTCGCCAAATAAATAAACGTTATCTAAGGTCTGACGAAAGAATAAATAAAAATGTAATGGATGTACTTCAGTCAGTCCCGTTGAAGTTCAAATTAGCGGTATTTCAAGAGATTCGCAAGCAGAAGTTTGAGATTTACGGTGGACTTCCATCCTTTCCAGACTATTTGGTCGTAAGAAGTCAACACAAGGTTTTCACAGTTTGGCCACCACACAGTGGTCAGCCATTGATGTTAAATAAGGTTAGAGCCTGCATTCGGTTTCACCGGCTCCAGACTCTCCCGCGCTGACATTATGTCCACTCTTGGGAAGGAGGTTACTCATACCAGTCAGAAAGTATGATGTTACAGTTATGAGGATATGCTAGTCTAACTCTAAAGGAATGAAGTTGACTTCTGCTTGCGAGCCTCTTCAATAGGCCACGTTCGATGTATCAATATTCTAACATCGATCCGAGGCTTTCGGGTCAAAATTGCTAATTTTTTTAAGTCTCCTTTGCCTTTCAATTCCCAAAAGAGACTTGGATACAAAGAAAACACCACCAAATATAGAGGTTTGTCCTGAAAGCCTCGGAACCATGTTAGAATATTGATATATCGAACGTCACCTACTTCAATGCCATTGTACGTGTGAACGTAATTGCGAACTTATACCTGACCATTGCGAGTCCGCCGGCCTGCAATTTGTGACTGTTTAAAAATCATCAGAGTAGCAAACTATTTACATACTTTTCTCTTTCTAGTGACTCCAATAAAGCTTAATACAGCCAGGGCCAACGCTGTAGCCCATGGATGTTATCAGCTGAATTGTTTTTTTTTACAAAACTATAAGCTTGAAATACGATGATACAGTGACACTAACTAAATCTATGCGTGCCATTGCTTGAGTGATGCGCATCTTGAAACTAAATTGTTTCAAAATCTTTCTACAACTGATTTGCATAAACGATCCTAAAGACTGGCATTCTTTTTATGTTCAATTTACATAATTTACATAAAAAAGGGGGGGGGGGGGGGAAATTCGAGATGGAATGAAATGTCCAGTTTGGCTGACTTTCACTCATAACGAATACATCAATAGTTAATTTAACAAACAGGTCACAGTATTTCAGTCACCTGACTTGAACTCGGTGAGATTGAGAGTGTCTGCCTTGAAGTTGACTGCAGTAGAAATCAAATCATGCCACTCACAAGTTTAACTAGCTAAGTGGTTTGAAAGTGTTGATAAAGCTGGCAATAGACCCTATTCGATTTTAAATTGAGCGTAACTGTAATTCTTTTCATGGTAAATGCACTCCCGAAATAGATGTAATTATAGTAACAAGGATAACTCCGCTCGCTGTATGCCAAGTGTTTTGCACTAATGTTACAATGCAATAAATCGGTGTCACATCACCTTTTATTACTAACGGTCTGGATGTATATCTCGGCGGTGAAAGAATAAGATAACACTCTAATGTATGTCATAGATGAAACATTTTAGAAATGTCTGAATGAGAATGAGTCGAAGAACTGTAACAGCAGACGACTGAGATATCTCAGAGTCTCAATTCTCATGAATGCATGGAAACTGTGGAAATTTCGACAATTGAACCACACGATTTCAATTAAAATTTACACGCCCTAGGTAACACTTATTTTATAAAATAAAAACGTTTGTTTGTAAGTGTCCGAAATAACGGTTATGTATAATTTCTCACCTAGGAAAACTCTAAATCTAAAAAAATTACAAATGAGAAAACCGTTTGTTTAGATGACTCAAATAACGCTTAAAGCGAATACGTATGCTTATTTACTATGTGACTAGCGAAATCAGTTCTGAAGTCCGGTCCGTCTAGAACTTTTTTTCAGAAAAATCATCAGTGAAGTTGACTGGCACATTCAGTCATGAGACCAGAAATTTTAAGTTACCTTTAATATATGCTTTTGAAATACATAAGCAAGCAAAAACTAACGATACAATGTCCCGACGCTTCGACGACCTTATGACGCCATTATCAAGGAATGAACAAATGAGAGCGAGTTCAAAAGAGGTAAGACCTGTAGATTTACAAAAATGAAGTTAAGTTAGCCAAAGACTGTTGCTGTACATGCTGTACATCAAACAATTGAGACCGCGTTTGAATGTACAAACAGATTCGATCCGCGCTTAAGTCTCTAACTTAACTTCATTTAGGTAAATCTACAAGTCTTACCTCTTTTGAACTCGTTTTGACTTATTCATTCTTCGATAATGGCTTCATGAGGTCGCCGAAACGTCGGGGAATTATATCGTTAGTTTTTACTTGCTGAAACATATACCCTCCCTTTTCTTGTCACGAGATGGCAGTCACCTGTATTAAACGTAAACAGATGAACTTCGTGTGCTAATGAAAACCTCAGACTGAGATCTCCGCTGCTGACGATCTTCCGCTGTCCACATTCCATTCTCATTTTTGACCAACGGCTCCCTCGCTTCCACTTGGCGGGCAGAATTATTGACGAAATCATAGGTGTGTCTTTTGTTGAGGACAGGAACAAGATCTCTTCCACGTGTATTGTTGTGTCCGTCCTTACCAAGTGTAGGATTAAGAGAATGCTTTACTCGACTTGTTATAGCTTTCTCGGAAGCTACATTGTTCTCAACTACCGGCCTATATTTACTTCCGGTTGAACGTATAACATCTGGAAGACTAACCGCTTTTCCGTGAAGCTCCTTTCTCCTATTTCCACTATATGATCTCTGACCTGTACAGTTTGAATGGCGACTTCGATTGGGCAAGCTATCTGCAGACACTGTCGAAGGTAACTCTTGCCGTCTACCCGAAAACTCACTTTCATGGAAAATTTGAAAACTTTCATCTGAAGGTCCACTTTCGGAAGAAAGTCTCACAGATGAGAATTTTCCAGGAGCCAACTCCTTCGATAAAAATCTTTTCATGCGCTTTCGTTTCAAGAAGTTCTCTCTGTCAGACACCGTTCTGTGTTCTTGAAAATCAAGCATAGGAGCACTTGAGCTGTCTGTACTGCAGCTTAACTCACGCTTCATGGTACTGCAGTCATCTTCGCTTTTCTTTTGCAATTCACTTGTATCGTGAGTCGGCAAGGAAAGCTCCTCGTCTTCAGGAATGCAGGCATTTAATGCAGCCTCAGTATTGAGTAAGAAAGTTTCCTCCGTGTCTTCCTGTATTTTGGCCAGACGATCAATCGAACGCCGAAGAGAACCGTACTTTCCTGGCTTCAGTGTGGTGACAACAAAGTTGTCGAACTCCTTTCTCTTCGTGCGCTTATATTTCCTGTCTCTTCGTCTTCGAGGGGACCTGGAGCTCTTCGACAATTGCGAAAAGTCAAACGTGTGCCGTTTATTTATTTCATCCGGAGAGGACGGGACACCACTCGCCCCAGTCTGTATCTCGTCACACGAGCGATGGCGATTCCTTCTGTAATTGCTGTCACTACTTGCGTCAGTGGACTCGCTTTCGTGTCCATCTTCTTGCTCGGACACAGACTCTTCTCTTACATTACTCGGTTTACTTTCAACACTTTCTCTGTCCTCGGATGACACACTGTTTCCTGCTTCCCTGCTCCTCTTTTTCAGATTAGACAGTGGTGATGACGGAGCATCCATTAACAATTCAACCAAGTCGAGGCTATCGTCGTCCGAGTTTTCAGAAAATACAGACAACTTTTCTACTGCTTCACCCGCCTGGGCTCCTGTAGAAGTATCCTGAAAGGTGTTTATGGCTAAAGCAGGGAATTGAGCATTAACTCTGGAGGCCTGGGGTGTACAAGGTTTTGAATATCTATCTTGGTCTTCAGGAATATTGGCTTTTGCTGGCGAATCCCGCTCATCAGAAAAAATTCCTTCATCCATTGCCCTAAGAGTGATGTCATCAGAAAGCGTTTTCTTAATATGAACACCGGAACTGCCGGGACCCTCATCGGCAAATACTATGCTGTCCACGGAGCTTCGTGAGCTCTCGGATGATAACGAGATGCAGTCCGAGGACACGAGACTGTATCGATTACCAAAGCTCAGCGAGCCATAATTGATCTTTTCTGTGTTGTTTTCCTCCTCAGCGTCTAAAGAAGTGTCGAAGCCAGCTTGCTCAGGATGGAACCAGCTAATGATCTCTCCAGCAGTCGGACTTTTTGGCGACGTATATGTTATGTCATCGTCAAAAGCTAGTCCCCGTCTAGTCTTAAAACTTTTCTTATCTTTATCCATCTTTTCTGGTTCTGTATCTCCCGTAGCAGCATCCGTCCGGTCCGCTAATCTGGCAGAGTGATCAGGGCACTGTACACTATTTAGCGTTTCCATGTCAACCTCCTTTAATGTCACGAGAGAAGAGTTTGAAATTGAATCTCTCGGACTCATTACCTCAGGAGTTGCCCCCGTCACCGTGATTCTGGGTACGCGACTTGTGACCAGCGGATGACTGGCCATGCCTAAGGGCCGTGCGGGTGTACTGTGAACAAGGATATTAGTAGGAGAAAGGTCTGGATCAGAGGCAAGGTCATGTGACCCCGTGCGCCCAAGATGGTTCCCATTTACGTGCAAGCCTTCTTGTACAAGCTCCCATGATGGAGTGCGCGGGAGAATTTCCAGTTCCAGAGCAGGGTGGTGGTTCTTGCTGCGGTTCACGTTTGTTATCAAACCGTCAGCTCCATTCTGCTCAAGTGCGCCATTTCTCTGTCTTGATCCTCGTACACGACAACACCAGCAGCAAACCCAAGTGTGAGACACTTCTCCTTCCAGATCAAAGCTTCTTTTTTGGAGAAAGATTCCTTGAACTGGCAAACTGGGGTGATAGAAGCGGTAATAGATCAGCATGCAAACTATGCCAAAAACAAGCCCTCCCCACACCACCCCCAAGGCTGTTATAGCCATTATTCCACGGAATGTCCGGTGAGGATACCACATGGATACGAACAAGGAGTTCTCGACTAAAATGATGGAGTAGAACAACACAACACGCTTCCGAGTCATCCCTTCTCGTGTGTTGAAAAAGCAAAAGATGTATATGAAGCCAATTACAGCACTGAACAGTTTCTCCCGGTACGGATGCTCGTTGCCGTCTTCATCTGTGCAAAAGCGAGTTCGCTGACATATCAGCCACATAGTCATGATAATCCAATGTGCACCGACGGCAACAAACAGCCACTGCTTAAAGTATGACGCAAAAAGAACCATGGCAACCACACGTGAAGACACCACGGAGATGCGCCATAGTACCTGGAAAAACAAGCCGGCTGCTGAGAGTACGTAACCTTGCTTTCTGAAGTCCCTTAACGATTTACTGTAAGCTAGTATGGCCCAGATCATGGACACGAGAGAACAAGCGGCGGCAACAGCGGTGAGCATGTCATCTTTCACCCGCAGGCGTGGTCGCTGAAGTAAAATGTAAAGCTGAAGAACAAGTTGAGGGGCAGACTGTAGGAAGGCTTGAAGAAGCCTCAGCATGCTGATGTCCCGCCATTCGGCCAGAAACGCCGCAAACTCTAGAATAGTTGCGTTCTTTCGCCTCGCTTTCCAGCCACATCTGAGGACGTTCCAGTATCTAGAAGATTGAAAAGTGTGTCTGTTATGTTACACTATAAATAAAGAAGGCTGTAAACTGCGGAGTTCACACTGAATTGAAGTGCGTCTCCCGAGGGATCTTAGCCCAACATTTAATTATTACTAGTACAAACCTGAACAATTAAATGTCTACACTGATACATATGATGTACAATCCTGGAATGGACGCAATCAGTGTGGTCTGAGTTGATCAATATACAACTGAATTTTGACCTTTTGAATTTGAGTGACAAGCTACATATTCAACTAGAAAAGGATAGGTTTTCAAAGTCGAAGGTGAAAGAAGCAACTGACCTGGAAATTCCAGCTCTTCGCGTGGAATTTCCATGTACTGGCAATCGAGTTTGCGACGGGAACTAAGAATTTCTTAGCCTGCGAACAGGCTCCCGGCGAGGACGGAAAAGAAAGTCGGCGAGCACGAAACTGAAGAATCCGTTCAGGCGGAAAACCATAGAATTGAGCTAGACTACTCCACGCTTTCTCCTGTTATGTTTTTTGTCGTCCGTCATCCCTCGCAAAAAGAAAAAAAAAAACGGCTTTAAGAGAAAGCAGGCTATTTTGTTTGCGTTTCGCTGGAGCAGCGGAGCCGTGATTTTACAAGTCAAGGTCGAAAATCACGACTCAACAAATCCTGCCTGGCAAAAAGCCACCGGCTTTAGGTAATCAATATTGCTGCTTTATATACGAAAAAACAGCTTGTAATGTGAGCAATATCACGCATGGCTGCAGATTTAAGTTATAACTGTCAACAAATGTCGGTGGAATATTTGTTCAAATGAGACTAACAGACTCCGTTTTTTAATTAACCGAAACAATGTTTTCTTGATGACATGCTTGATGTCCTTAATTAATCGGTTTAGATAAAGCAGTTTTTCTGTGATCAAGATCTTTATCTCAATGGGGGAACAATTAGCTAAAGAAAAGACACCGCACAACAAAACGTTGTCAGCCGAATAATTGCAACCTTTAGCAGAAATAGCCCGTATAAAAGCTTATCACAGACTATAAAATGCCTCCTACTTAAGAACAACTTAGGCGCTGAAGAAAACTGATCAACTTTCAGGAGATTAAAAGTTGCGACAAGTTTACTGGAGGGAATATTGGGTACGTCTCGTGGCATTGCTTGCTAAAGTAGTAATGTTTTGCTGCCGAAGAAACCAAATGAATAAAACATATCAAACAGTATGACAAGCCATGGCAAGCCACTCTATCCGACAAGAAACTTTGTTTTTGGTGGTTAGAGGTTAGGTACAAGAAGGGTATAGACAATAGATAGTCAAAATAAACAAAAAAAACTAGTTCTCATAAAACAATACAAGTGACGCGCAAACCAAACCAACATAATCCGTCAAAGCATACTGAAGATACGAATTTGCATTCAAATCATCCACAAGCAAATTAATAAGCTTCCATATTTTGGGGCATAATTATAGTCTCGTTGTGTGCGAATATTCACGAATCGGATGTGTGGATCACCTGTAGAATTCTGCGTTTGAATAAAGCGGAAAAGAGTTCGCAAACACGCCTAAAAATAAGTCGCGAGGATAACATTTCTGATAACAAGACAAGCAGCAGTTGTGAATATTCAAATTGACCTCCATTGGGAAACTTAATGATATATTTGGATGATAAGGGAAAAGATCAAAATCTGCATACGAAAACATGAGCTATAAGAACCGGCGCTTACTGTCCGTGACGCTGGAAAGCCAAGCATATCTAAAGAAGTCGTTTAACTTTAGTTATAAAATTCGCCCTCTCTTGAATAAAAACACTGGAATAAAATTTGGTAGATTATAAGCCAGACATTTGGATAGTTTAGCCAGTTCAAGCTGGGTTCATTATTACAAGACGCTAAGACACTAATTCCATAATATATCGCGTGGTACCTTGTGTCCTTTGAAAACACTTTACTGACGCCTTGTTAGAAAAACACATAAATTACGCTGACATGTGAAGTTGTAAGTGAATAAACAGAGATTAATGAAAACCTTGTATTGTAACGTAACGTGAAAAGTTCATGATGAACCGATTATTTACGTCTGACCTTCGAAATGATGATCACTCTGAACAGTCGATCACGAGGGCCGGTTGCTAAAGGTTAAGCTTATATTTTCATTCCTTGCTTTTCTGGAGAGGGAGCAGATAAATTCGTCTTGGGAATTCTGGTCTATTTACTGAACTACAGTATAGTTTATCTTAGTTAAATACAGAACACAGATATGATGTTGTCCTCGAAGTAAGCTAAACTATCCGATCTGTTCGGACAAAAGCCTTCCAACACTCGCAAATCGAAGAAATATCGCAAAGGCAGTGCTTTCGTCCAAAACGTTTCATCGCCTGTGTAGTACCTTTACTGACAGATTACACCTTTAATTGTCAAACATTCGTCACAGTGAACATTGGGCCAAACGGGTACTATAAAGTTATCACTTGGAGAAATAAGAGAAGTGATAATTGCCATGGCATATTAAAGTCAAAGCGAAAACCACTGAAGTTCTACGGAAATTCTCAAGACGCGCGGGGTTAATAGGTTTCCGATAAAAGGAAATGAGATAACAAAACAAGACATCACCGCTCCTCGCCTCTGTAGCTCTTTGCGATTCAAGATAATGGAAGGATATGAAACGTGGCTTGTTATTGTAATTATCAAGCTTTGTACCTACCTCTGAACTGGTCCCAGGTGAAGGACATGTAAAATGTATGTGAAACAGTGCTGTCTTTTGCCATCTTCCAAAAGCCACTTAGCCGAGAACAACTGCATTGCAAATGAAGCGGCTAGTAAGAAGCCAAGTGTAAGGCCAAACCACCATAAATCTTTGTCCCTGTAATACTTGACACATACAAGTAGGTCAGATCCGATGTCCGCTACAAATGTTATGATGGACACGAAAGTCCACAAGTCGTCGGTGTAGTGTGTCGTGCGTCCTTCGAAAGGATTTTTGGAGTCAAATCGCTGCTGAGTTGATGAGATGTTTGTCTCTTCCGTTCTGTTTTGGGATGGTATGTTAAGAGTTGTTCCATTGCAACTTCTCATTGTCACCTCTTCGTGCTCCATTACCGCGCGCTCTAGGCTAGGATAAAATTTCCAACGGCGAAAAGTTGCGACAAATCAAAAATTTGAATACTTGTCAGCGGCTTTTCAAGAAATAAACATACTGTTATGTCCCAGCTACCAAAAGTCGTCTTATTAAGCATAGAATTAGAATGACGTCATGGAAGCAGCCAAGTTGTATTTTTTATTTTAATTATTTTTATTGTTATTATCATTATTATTTTTTATTATTTATTTAAAGTAACACGTCTTAACAAATTACACGTATCACAAATTACAAAAATTTCAATAACAAAGTAGCTATTATCATTATCATTATTATTATTATATTATTATTTTCATATTATCATGAAAATATTATTATTATAAATATTATTATTAATATTATTATATTATTATTAAATAACTTATCACAAAAAATATTATGATCATGATTATTCTAATTACATTATTATTATCATCATTATCATTATCATTATCATTATTATTCTATTGGGCTCATTAAAATTCTTCACTAAAACTTTACATGATATATATTTACATAATTTTATAAATCCCTTTTCTAAACCCTTGGAATGAAGTTAATGAGCAATATTACAGGAGAACGTAACAGCAAGTATTACCAGAAGAGATGAGGAAGAGATGTTAACTAAAACCAAGTATTACTTGTTCAGTTCATGTTAGGTTGGGAGTCAAGATACTCCAATTTCCCTACCCTTTCATATATCTCAACTTGTAAAATCCCGAGGCTAACCTTTCATAATACCTGAAGCCTGAAAAAGGTGCCCCTTTTGTGCAGAGCCTCCTTTTATAGGCTTTTATAGGCTTTTATAGGGAGTAATCCCAGGTAGCCATATAAGACATATTGCTCTCAAGACGGGGATTAGCTCCGTTTGTCGTTTCCTAACCCTAACTCTAACCCTAAGGTTATATTTTCCTGCCTTTGAGCCTCCCTTTATAGGCTTGACATCCTCGACCACTTTGGTAGAATTTCGATCTCGTTTGGTGTGGAGTTTACAGGGTGTCAGTGTATGAACTGTATTTTCTAACTCAAACTTATAATATTAGGACTAGTTGCTCTTAGGAATATTTTATATTTTAATTCTGAATTTATCTTAGCGAATATCGTAATTGTAAGTAGTGTTATTGTAAATAGTTGTGCTTGACTGTCATGAGCCCCTGGCTTGGGAGATTGGGCAACCACTCCCCACCTTTACGACTTAAAACAAAGTTACCTTACCTTATCTTACCTTAGCCTGGTGAATCATTAGGCTGACACTTATAACAGCTTATGCAGCATAAGGGTTATGTTAGGGTTAGGGTTGGAGTACTTCTACTCCCCTTGGCCCTGGGTGCAGAATCATTGTAAAATTTGGTATCTTGCCCAAGAACACGACTCTGGCCAGGTCTTCAACCCTGACTGCTCAAATTATCTGCAAACATACTAACCGTACAAATCTCTCTATATTTTGGGTGGTAGCTACTGGGTTAATGCCTTCTACCATGACTTTACTCTTAAACTTTTCTTCACCATTTTAGCCACGTCCCACAAGAGTACACTTCCACTATTATGTCACTGTGCTCCTTCTGGTCATTATAGCAAGGTTATTTTGTTTTTATGATAATGGATACTGAATTGTTTATGTTTTCTATTTTCATGACACTTGACACTTTGTTTGTGAAAATAGGTGACATCAAATAGTTTACCCTGTCACTTTAGTGGCTCAGATATTCACTTCCATTTAGATCAACTGAACTAAAGATAGCCAACCAAATGAATGAATATTACCAGGACAGTGTAAGTGGAAATTGAAATTTCAGACATTTTTCTTGTGAACCCTTGAAACATCACCCAGGTTCAAGGCCTCTGGAAACAACGACATCAACAAATACTACAAAATACCCTTAATATCATAACTTGTAAGAGGAAGAGAACTTTTGTTTTGAAAGTTCTAATTCTTTATTGGGTATTAGAGATTGATCGAAGAGTAACTTCAAAGAAATTCACCTCATGATCTAAGTGAGACACTACATACTGGCCCTTGTTAAGGGAGACAAAGATGTACATTATAGCATAGTGAATCATTAGGCTGCCGCTTATTGCTGGCTTATGTTGCATTAGGCGGCTTGGAGTACTTCTACCTCCCTCAGCTCTGGGTGGTGAATCACCGTGAGATTTCATGTCTTGCCTAGCTATGAACACGACTCCAGCCAGGCCTTCACCCCAGACTGCTCAATCGAGAGTCAAACATACTAACGGTAAAAAGTCTCTCTTTATGTTTGAATGGATTATTGCCTTCTCCCATTGTCGCATGTTCATGCTGTGGCTGAAAGTTTACTCTTACACTTTACTTTTCCACTTTTAGACATAAGTACATTTCCCACTACTAGCTGTGCTCCAGCTGGTCATTGTTAATTTTAAGAAGGCTCATCATTAAAACTGTAGACAGTGATGAAAATACCTTGCAACCTAGTCTGGGGCAAATGGAGTACAAAAAGTAAGTCAGCCTGACTGAATAAAGACAGTCTAGGTGAAAAGAGTTTGGAAACATTAGAATGCATATTTCTTAGAATAATCTTCATCAACTCTAGTAGACTCACCTAATCAATAATAAAATTAAGTGGAACCTGTCTGATTCACGTCACCTGGTCTGTCTTTACTCAGTCAAGCTGACTTAGATTTCATACTCTATTTGCCACAGACTAGGTTGTAAGGTAATTTCATCACTGTCTACAGTTACTAAAGAAATTTAATTGGTAATCTTAGACTTCTTCTTACTTAAGGAACAGACATTGAACTCAGGCTGTGGCTTAATTTTCTGGGAAAAATTAATTTATCATCACTTTTAGGAGTTTGAAAAAATAAAATAAAAAGCAGAACCCTAAGATAAAGTGCTGACAGGTTGAGAGATTTTATCTATTTCTTACTGGTTTCATTCTTCACCAGGATCTAACTTCTAGAATTTCATACTTCATTTCATTTCATGCAAGAAAGCTACGAAATGAATACCATGCAATCAGACATGAAAATAACTTAATTACACACAAACAGATTTGATGACATTCTTCTATCCTAAGAATATACCTCAAGCAGAGCTTAGAACAGAGGTATGTACACAATTTGGCTGAAATTGTCACTAATTTAAATTAAATAGATAGTTAACACTGCACAAAAAAGCACACTTAATGCCAAACTTGGACAGATGTGCTATAAAGCAACACAACTCCTTGAGATTGCTTCTTTTAACTTCTTTTTGTAAATCATCGAGTGCTTTTTTCTATTTAGTCTCATATGCAGCCATTGTTGAGATGTTAAAGATAAACATTACATGATGAGCTATGACTATGACTACACCTTGAAATAAATTACACAAAATTAAATATTTTGTAATAAAAACTCAATAATTAGCTTGTTGTAAAAATAGCAATGATTTGAAGCTGTCACAGCAAAATGACCTCTTATGGGCTTTGGAGAACAAGAGAAGATCACCATTAATTCCAAAGCAAAAAGGAATATTTTTTGGATTAATCATCAGTTTCATAACACACAAATTACTATTCCATATTTGTTATGAAATTCAAAACATATCAATCTTGGACAAATTATCCAATGAAGGTCAATTGTTTTTAAATAACTCGACTGTTGTTTTATCAAAAATAATATTGCTACCAATTTATCTGTGAAATTGTGTGCATTCTGACAAATTGTTGCATTTTTTGGCAAATTGTAATAAATAAAAGTATTCTTTTGTAAATTAGTGAAAGAACTGAACAATAAATGATAAATTTGCTACTAATAACTTATATTAATCTTCACATTAGAAAATATTATTAATATTATATTATATAGAAATATTATACATGTAATACATGTATTATGAAACTAACTAGCCACTTCCCACAAGAAAAAACTTTTAAAACACTACAACCACTCAGTTCTTCGATAATTGGCTTGAATTCCAGAAATCACTCCATTAGTGTCCTGCTCCCGGCTCAATGACGTACGTGGTACAAGATCTACATCCACTCGTAAATTTCCATGTGAACCAGCTTGTGCGTTTCCTCTTAGGTAAGGTCTTTGACGGACAACTACTGAGCATCTTTTGTCAGATTCTTCAGGGTTCGCTTGCTTTCTTTGGATCTCACAGCAGCAGCACCAACAAACTGTAAAGTGTTGGTGCTCTTGCACATCTAATTGTGTCTTCTTGACACAGATCCCTTTCACAGAGAGGGAAGGATGGTAAAAACAGTAATAGGAAACCATACACAGGAGTCCACATGCAAATCCTCCCCACACAATGATAAGTGCCGCAGTCTCAATGCCTCCATACAGTGTCCTGACTGGATACCACATCACTATAAACAGAGTGTTCTCCCCAAGCATGATGACATAGTAAGGAATAACTCGAATACGAGTCATGCCTTCTTTAATGTTGAAAAAGCAAAATATGTTCACAAAGCCAATCACAGAGTTGAATAAAAATTCACGGCACAAATGTGTTTTTCCATGCTCATCAACACAAAAATGAGTTTTCTGGCAAGCAAGCCAAACTGTCATAATGAACCAATGAACACCTACAGCCACAAACACTCCTCTGGTGTAGTAAGAAGCAAATAGAACTAATGCCACAACTCGAGATGCCACCATGAACATGCGCCACATAATTTGAAGAAAAAACCCAATCCAGGAAATGGCAGTTCCTTTCCCAAAGAAATCTCTAAGAGCTTTGGTGTATGCCACAATTGCCCATGCAAGAGATACTAATGAACTTGCAGCAGCAATGGCTGTGAACAGGTCACTCTCAATCTCAAATTCCCTATCGTAAGCCATGATATACAGTTGGAGAACCAATTGGGGAGCAGATTCTAAGAAGCATTCAAACAGTCGCAGCATGCTGATGTCCCTCCATTCTGCCAGGTATGCTTCATAGTCACTGTCACTGGAGTTTGCCTGACGAGTACGCCATCCAGCTCTAATGACTTGCCAGTACCTAAAAAGATGTCAAACAAACAAGCCTGGCTATGTTACATAGTGGCAACAATAACTAATAATACTAAATAATAATGATTAATCTGCATGCAGATAAATAAATCACTTGGCCAATAAATCAATCAGTCAATCAATCAATCAATCAATCAATCAGTCAGTCAGTCAATCAATCAATCAATCAATCAATCCATCAATCGATCGATCAATTAATCAATCAATCAATCACTCAGACAGTCAGTCAGCCAATCAACAGATCAGTCAATCATTCAATCAATCAATCTATTGGCAAGACAATTTTTAACACATTAACAAAACAAATTTTACTTCTTTTCATAAATCCAAGGATACGGAAAATACCCTTACTGACAGGATCAAAGTTGAGAAAGAAAGTGCTTACAGCTAACTTCTCAACAACAACAACAACAAACAACAATTAGTAAAACAAGTAAAAACATTCCCTGGTTAAAAAGATTAAAAACATTCGCTTTAAGCTATCAGTGTTAGCCTTTCACAAATAAAATGTCTGTGCGTAAGACAAGGTTTAGCAAAATGTAGTGATTTGTCAGTGCCGATTTGATCACCAAGTTTGTTTAATCATATTTTTTAATAACTCTTTGAAAGCTCAATCAGGAAAGCAATCTGCCATTTTTCAAACAAGAGCATGCCCACAATTACCCTTCCACAGAATTCTATTTGCAGTATAGCACATTTAGAATCATGGTATTATGCATGGGCAGATAATTATTAGAGGGCGGTTATTTGCAGGTCACTTGGTGGGCTCACAGTTAATGAAAAGGAAGAAAAAAAATGCATCTAGTGATAACAAAATTTACGTGCAGTCTAACCTAACATCATGTTTACAAATAACTAAGCTGTTAACTACTCCAGTTGGCAAAAGTTTTATTGCTTGAACACACACACTAATAACGAATGAAATGCCGAGCTAAACCTACAAGTTTATATACTTATGTAAATCTTAGAAAGTTCCAGAAGTGTCTCTGCATATATTTGGGCTTGCAGGACAATGCATACTAATTATCAAACACTCTGCATTACAACAATGCCTGAAAGGTGACAGAATAAATAGAACTACATAAGCTGATTATGTAACATCTCCCCACTAATCAAAAATAGCTTAAGGCCTTAACTGAAACGTTGAAACTAATTAAATTGTCTCTATAAGTCTTTTAGGTCTTGTAATCACACGTCTTGGTCATTCACTGCTAGTGCTGTTGTCACGCTTTACACTCTCGGCAGGTATTGGAACAGTCTCTTGAGCTGGACGAATGAAGCGACGATTTCTCACTAACTGGGCTCCATTAGTAGTTTCGACACTGTACGATCTCGGTTGAGACGCTACTGGTGTTTTGGTAATGGTTGCTGGGGTCCATTGGTTACACTGGGGGTGAACTTGTACGTACACTCTTTGATTCTGTGGCAGTGAAGGTAGATCCCTTGCAGTCTTGTTGTTGTGCTCGCACATTTTGCCCTTGTCTTTCACCATTTGCTCTCGGACAACCTGACAATGGGGATTCTGGNCTGTACGTCCAGTAGTCTACAAGAAGTGGGTGGCAATCTTTCTTTAATTCAGGCCAACCATTTATTACCACTTGCATCAGTAAGCCGGAAGTAGTGTCTTCTGCAGTTGCTCGTCTGAAAACTCCAATTCTTGTGGAATCGGCGGGGATTTCGTCTGTGAGCATGTGAACTGGGGTGAATTCTTCCTCGTCTTCTCCTTCTTTAGGTGTTGGCTGAGGAGAGGCTGAGGAGGGCTTACAAATTAAAGGTAATCATTTAGTAGCCTGCGTCGCAAATGCTTAACCTACTACGGAGTTACTAAATTTCTGTCTGCGACACAGGCTATCATTTAGGAGTTGGCACGCTAGAATTAGTAATATGCTGATATCAATTTCAAGGTCAATTTCATTACAATAATAACCTTTAGTCAGTGAGTGATTGAGTAACACGAGTATGTTTACAAAAAGCCAAATTCAATTTGCATCCGTGAATGTTATGAATTAAACTAAATTAAATTAAATTAAATTAAATTAAATTATTTTAGTTTTTTTGAAGACAAGGTGTACGTCTTCAAAGATAAGGCTTTTCTTTTGTTTGTTTGGGAGAAAAAAATCCTCAGTTTGTGGAAACAAGATTATCAGTCTCACCTAACGAGTGGACCAAGCTGAAAAAGATGCAACAAATATGCACACCAGTTCTGCTTTTCACCGTCTTCGTGAAACCATTTGGCAGAGAAAACTTGCATCACAATGGACGACAGAAGTACAAATCCTAACGTCAGCGAAAACCACAAATAAGAGCCATCGAAGTAATACAACACGGAAACGACTAAATCGGATGCGATATCGGCGACGAAAGTCAAGATGGAGACAGCGGCGAAAAGATCCCAGAAAATATGAACTCTTTGGGGTTCAAATTGAGCGTATATACGAGGTCGCCTAGAGGCAGCTAGATCAGTTTCATCCACACTCTGAGTTCCATTGCCAGTAAACAATCCATTAGTATTTTCATTAATTTCTGTACTCTCTGTACAGTCACAACAATTGCCAGCAGCCATTCGCCAACACTCCCGCATGAAATATTCTACGTGACGGAGGAGTACTGGGAACTAATTAATAGACTATGGCGGCCAAAATGGCGGTGATGTAAGCAATGATTAGTCATACCAGAAAAATTTAATATTATAGAACGCCACATTATCCGAACCATATTGCAAGAGGACCATGCCTCCAAAAAAGCCAGGTCCTGTAACAAAATCGGCTCCGAAATCGACCACACAAAAACCTGCAGGGAGGGGTGCTGCAGCTAAACCCACCGCCAAGAAGCCGAGCAGTGCGGCTGTTAAACCAGGAGCTAGTGGAACCAAAGGGACCCCAGCAAGGAAAGGAGTCACATCCCCAAGTAAAACGCAAGCCAAGGGGAAGGATAATGCGTCACCACAGGTAGAATGCATGAGTAGTTGAATCCCTAACATTTTAGTTTCCATGGTAACGAGGTCAAAGCAAGCCTTCACTGTGAAGACTTATTTGTAAAGATATTCTTGTCATCCAAGAATAAGTTATTTTTTATATAGGTGTGAGCCCCCAAGATGTTTTGTTGAGCCAAACATCTGTTAAAATAACTTTGAATAAAAAAATAAAAATGTAAATTTATCGAAAGTTCTAGAGGATGTCACCAAGAGAGAGGAATATGCTAATATGGACTTCACTGTCACCAGTTATAGTCTTTTTCAATATTTAAGTAAAAGCTTCCAAATATTGTGACCTTACCTGAAATATTTTACATTTTTGTGAAGTCATTTCTACAATTTTAGGAGTTTTGGCATTGTTTTATTACTTGAGTCATTTCTGATGCTCATGAAAAAAAATCAACTGATCCCAGATCATGAATCCAAGGAATGTGCTGTTGTGATATCATGACATTATAATTACCTGCACATGACGTGATGTTTCACATTATCATTTCACATTGCTCACCTCCAAAAAAGTCCAGTCTACACAAGGTGAAAGAAATGCTCAACAGTAATATCAACATAACTTTATAACATTTTGAACTTGAACAGAAAGTTAAAATGAGAATCACTTCAGTCTACACTTAAAACTGAGAGGTTGATGATTTTATAAGAGAGGGCTCTCTTAATTATTTAAAATGTTATTTGCCACCACTGTGAAAATTGGTTTTAAAATACTTAGTTTTTTCAAGGTCAAGGGCACGAAGTGGACAAAGCAGGATGACTCTGCTGTGATCATTCAGAAATACACAAGACGACATTTGGCTAAAAAGGAACTGGCAAAGAGGAAAAAAGACAAACAAGAGTATGATGAGTTGATGGACAAGATTCAAAAGGAGGTAAGACTGGACTCAAGAAAATGTCAACTTAATCAGGAGAATGGAGACTCCCCAGTTGCACTTTTTCAAGAGCAGTTGCTGTAAGGGAGCACACAGTTGTTGTTATATCAGGCCTGAATGATTGAAAACTGTCTATTTTAATTAATCTTCATCCTATAAGCCAGTCTGGATACCACTGTGGTTAACCGATTGATATGGACTGGGGATGATAACTGTTAATCCCTTGCAGGCATGGCTAAAGTTGGTCCAGATGGAGAGAGAAGAAGCAGAAAAAGAGAGAAAAAAAGAAGAGGAAGAAAGACGGAAAAGGAAGGAAGAGGCAAAGAGAAGAAGCAGAATACTAGAAGCTGCTTTTGATGGTGATAATGATGAGATTTTAGCTGTGCTCGATGAGGTAAATATCACTTAGATGTGGCACTAATTTAGTTGGAGGTTGAAAACACTTCAAGTATATGACACATAACCAAACAATATTATAAATTATTATAGTGACTAGTTTCTCTCATAAAGTTACTATCCATTATCCCAAGGGTTAACTACATATAAACAACAAAGGTTACTAAATGAAGTAAATACTTGATATTTTCCATGTTTTGATTAATGAAACTGTTCCCTGGAAAACAAGGAAAATTGGCATTTCCAAACTCCTAAAAATAAAAATATTTTGGGAGGGAAGCCCAAAACCCTGCCAGCAGCGCTTTACGTATACTCCATGAAAAATGCACACTACGCCTCCATACTCCATACTTTGAATTCTTTACAGGCTTATGAAGAAGACTCCAAAAGATCAGACTTATCTGAACCTGCAAGACAGTCTCTCATTACAAGACACCAATTGGCACTAGTGGACTGTGAGGATGCAAACAACAACACCCCCCTGTCAGAAGCAGCAGGTGGTGGTCATGTGGACACTGTTCAGCTTCTAATTCAAAGAGGAGCTGATCTGAATTCCAGGGGGAGGTATCAAAGAGTTCCATTGTGGCGTGCAGCATTTGGGGGACATCTTCAGGCTGTGCAGGTACGTATATTTAACTAGTAGACTTAATACAGTGTAGGAAGTGAATGCTGACATACATGTACTATAAGTGGTTGAATGTGGATTTGAACATTACAGGTTCTTTTGAACTGGTATTACAGTAACATACATGAAAGAATATGACATATATACATGTATAGTGAGTGGTGAAAAAAAAAAATACACGAAACTACTTCAGAATTATAAAACGAGTTTGAACATAAATTATGAGTACTTGACGCAAAGATCTTGTATAGCAACCAGAAAAATGTAGTTGCTCCTGCATGTTTGTAATATGTACTGTACTTGTTTCTAAAACTTTTTTACCTTTCATCAAAGGCCTTTATAATGATTGTGAATGAATATGATTGTGAAAGATTTTGTACTGCTGTGCAAAGTTACAATACATTAATGGTATTTATTGGCAGTGACAGTAAAGGGAATTTACATTTTAAAGTTAAATACACTTCTGGTTAGGAAATACTGAGTTTGTATTTGATTTTTATATAATTATAAGTTGATAATTTGATGATACATTGACACAACATCAACTTAACAACCAGTTCTTTTTAACCATGCACTAGACTCTTTTAGAACACGGAGGTGACCCCAGGTTAATAGCAGATGATGGTACAAATGCAGTACAGGTAAGAACATCCAGTGTTGCTCTTAGTCCTGACAGGGAGCCAAGGAAAATATTTGGCTTTTTTAGGGGTTGAATCAATAAATGTCGGCAAATTTCATGTGATGGTCAGTTACCCTCCACCCCATCCTCCCTTAAGACAAGCCACTACCTCTCTGGTAACTTTAAATTTATTCATTTGTCTTCTATGAGGACATCTTCTGCTGGTTTTCAGGGGCATGGCTGTGAGTTTTTCAATAAGTATTTTGGCTTGAGTTGCAAAAGGTGGGTCATGAGTGGTGGACCCTACGCTAATAATAATTTATATTAGCAGCCACTCAGTCACCCTGATTGGGTCTCTCATCATTTTCTATTTGCAGATAGACAACAATCACATGCTGCTCTTGAAACTAGAAATTATTCTTAATTTTAGACTTGACAGTACACAAAATTGTAGGTTTTATGCTATACATGTAATCATTTGGACTGTCTACCAAAACAATTAGACCACTTGCTGTTGTTTTCTACGAGCAATAGTCCACTCTGCTATGTCTTGTTACCTGTTCCCTCATAGAAAACCCGGGCTCATAGTCTAATATTATTGTTAAATAGGCCCTGAAATGAAAACTCTGTGAAACTCACTTGCTTGAACTTCTTACCAGTACATTGTNTAAGTTGATAATTTGATGATACATTGACACAACATCAACTTAACAACCAGTTCTTTTTAACCATGCACTAGACTCTTTTAGAACACGGAGGTGACCCCAGGTTAATAGCAGATGATGGTACAAATGCAGTACAGGTAAGAACATCCAGTGTTGCTCTTAGTCCTGACAGGGAGCCAAGGAAAATATTTGGCTTTTTTAGGGGTTGAATCAATAAATGTCGGCAAATTTCATGTGATGGTCAGTTACCCTCCACCCCATCCTCCCTTAAGACAAGCCACTACCTCTCTGGTAACTTTAAATTTATTCATTTGTCTTCTATGAGGACATCTTCTGCTGGTTTTCAGGGGCATGGCTGTGAGTTTTTCAATAAGTATTTTGGCTTGAGTTGCAAAAGGTAGTGGGTCATGAGTGGTGGACCCTCCACTAATAATAATTTAAATTAGGAGCCACTCAACTGTGTTCTATTGGAAATCCACGAATCTGATTGGGTCTCTCATCATCTTGTATTTGCAGATAGACAACAATCACGTGCTGCTCTTAAAACTGAAACTTATTCTTAATTTTAGACTTGACAGTGCACAAAATTGTAGGTTTTGTGCTATACATGTAATCATTTGGACTGTCTACCAAAACAATTAGACCACTTGCTGTTGTTTTCTATGAGCAATAGTCCACTCTGCTATGCCTTGTTACCTATTCCTAATATCATTGTTAAATAGGCCCTGAAATGAAAACTCTGTGAAACTCACTTGCTTGAACTTCTTACCAGTACATTGTGTGAAATCTTAAATAGGTGGCGGCAATACCAGCTGTTGAACAGGTTTTACAAGAATGGGACATCAAACAAACAGATGTCTTGCTGGAAAAACTGGAAGCCGATAGGAATACTCGATCAGAGCAAGAGAAAAAGCTGAGGGAGGCAGAGAACAACAGGTTTGTACAGAACTTGTGTTGTTAACCAAAGAAAATGTGCCATCAACAATGGTTTTGTTTGAGTAACTTGCAGTCCTCTTAGAGATTCTCCTGGCCACATATTATAACTTACATCAATCAGCAATGGTGATTATTGGTTATAACTTCCTATCATGTATTTTAATAGACTGGAAAAGGAATTAGAAAAGGCAGAAAAGGAGAACCAGGCTCATCAAAAAGAGGTAAAGATATAAAAGCTGACAAGAAATTTAGAGGTAGCTCTATTCACAGATTGAACCAAAAACCCAACTTTTAATATATTGAAATTCTACAGTGAATCTTACAAGACATAAATAAGTCACTGTAAAGGAAAAAATATCTTTATCAAGGCAAATGCATTGATAGCAAGATTATTTTGTTCCTCATAGTCATAAACCTCATAGTCATGGCAGGATTTTAAAATGTTGAAAATGAAATAAGAATTTTCAGTAATGTAAAGAAATTGTTTCATTCAAGGTGACAATTTCCTCCCATTCTCTCTATCAAGTACGTTTCATGTTAGAACCTCTTGCATAGGAGACATACAATAGCTTAGCTTCTTATTGATTCTTGCCTTTCTGAGTGTGGAGATTTTTGCTCAATTTCTTCAGCTTTGCCTCTCCAAAATATTCCCAAATAGTTCTCCCCAAATGATACTCCAAGACAATTTCTCAACAGAAAAATGATTCTCCATCTGAGGGAAGTAAGCTTGAGTGGGTGTAATGGAGCTGTTATGGTTAACGTGTAATGTTAGCACTAACAGTTGATCAAATGTTAATTAATTGATAAAACATTGATTTATATTTCAATAACTAAAACTTTATAATACTATCCAATACATTCATGAGCATCTGAAAAAAAGTAAAAATTCACACATGCACCTTGAAGGGCGTATATAAATGCATACAATGTATGTTTACTTTGTTGTCTCTTTCAAGTTAGGTAAAGCGCACTGTGAACTAAACAAAAGGATTTATGAACATGATAAATGTATGGCTGAAGGAAAGATGGACAAAAGAGATGTGACACTACAGGTGTGTGATATTTCTGCAAAAGTCTACTCCACTCACAGATGAAGAAAAACCAGGAGTATGAAAAGGGAATGAGAATATTTTAGATAGTTCTGAGCTTCTATCAACCTAGCAGACATTGTATGAATATCGTGCTGTTGTTTACGTACAAATGTTTTTTATTTATTTTCACAATATTATTATTACAATTTAAATGTTATGCAATTTATGGATTGTCTTGTCTTATCTGTGCAAATGGTAATACCAGTAATGTGTCATTGCAGAAAATATCCATGCTCCCCACCTCTCTGAAAATTCCAGTTTTAGTTTTTTATGTTTTCCTTTTAAACTTTTGGCTTTTGAGACCCCCACTCCCTAAGAAATTCCAATACCCTTTTATGGGGTCGGTATGAATATTTTCATTTTCACTATCATGATGATTGAGGTATTAAGCTTAATTATGGCCAACAGGCCAAGCACTGCTTTCATATTTGTCTGTACAGTGTAAATCACCAGCAGGCTAGCGAGAAAACTTGTATCAGTTCATGTCAAGAGTGTGAGGTAAATTCCTTGCATGGTTGCTTTATAGGCAGTGCATGATGCTGAGGCAGCGCTTGAACTTGCAAGAAAAAAAGCAGAGGCTTCAAAAGAAGCTCTAGCTCAGGTACATTGTTGAAATATAAATTAAAATTCCATTTGTAAAATTATTATTTGAAACAGGGTATCATACAAGGAATAAGATTTCATTTCAAAAGGTCAAACAGTATTGTCTTCCATGACAATTTAAACAGCATAATGGATAAAATTTTGTAGTTGACTCAGTTTCAAACTGTCATTTTTTAATGCAAACATTTAAGGTGTTCACGCGTACATCACTATAGAATTTAAAACACCTATAGGTGTGCAGGCCTCTGCTCGTGCTTTCAGTAATCTATTAATTCAGGATATTAAGACTTTGTTGATAAAAAATCTCTTTTTCAGGTGAAACTAAAATTTAGAGAGCAGCACAAAAAAGACAATGATTCTACAGGTGACAAAACTGTTATGAAAGGAAAACATGATCATTTTCCCATTTCTTGGCAAATCCTTTGATTGGCAAGTTCTCTGTATTTAGAGTGACTGCATTGAGATGCATGTTGGCCTTGTATGGTTGGTATAATGAGCTTTGGATCAAGAGGTCTGGTTTCAACTTTGGCCTTGGTAATTGAGCTAACCTGACAAAAATACCAACTGTAACATTACTGTAACTTGCAATGGACTGTCATTCTATACTCTCCTCCTCGACTGTACTACAGAGACCATGCTACAGAAATCTCATGAGTCCTTCACTCTCAAATATCTTAACTTCTTTTGCTGATATCTTTTATTCAAGACAGCACCGACCTAAAGGGCATGAAAGTGATGATAAAAGACCTTGATGATGTATTGTTCAGAGATGTTGGTGGCAAGATTGCTGCAGATGGCAGGTGGGACTGTTATGGACTGGTTACTGACATATAACAATCATGCTTACATTTTGCAAGGTTCAAATCTTTTCAATACTCTGGCTTGGCAACAAAACACTTTCATACCAAACATTTTCTTACTTGTGTTTACAGATGGCCCCTCCTGATTGATTCCACTCCACAGAGTTCCACCTTCTTGCGGTACCGTGACACCAACTTCATAAATGCACTCAGTCCTAAGCACATGGAGCCTGATGTGATTCGTTTGGCAATTCTAGGAGGTTTAAGGTTTGTAAAGGAAGTGACGCACAGAAATCACATGTAGGATGCATCTTGCCAATTAGTACCATTACAGATAAATGACTGAGAAATATGACATGGGAGGGAAGGGTGATATCTGCAATGGACCAAGGGTACCTACAGATACTGAAAGATGCAACTGATGAAAGTACAATTGAGTTATTTGCCTGAGCATTGTTTATCTTTATAGGTATGGCAAGCCAGTAGTCTTGGATATGATGGATGTAGACATGTTTGACACTGTCACGATGAAATTTGATGAAGTGAAAAAAGGCCTCATGGCGTCACTGATGTCTAAAGATCTTCTGAAAGATAGCAAGTGAGTGGCAAGGCTGAATCAAATTCAATCATAATCTTAACGAGGGAAACCAACTTAAGTCACTTTAAAGGTATTTACAGAAGGATTCTCCAAAAGACCAAACATTTGACTGTCAGTTTCACATTGTCAGTGAAATAGTTAATAGAACAATGCAGACTGCATGACCTCCTGTAAACTGTTCAAGAACAAATCTTCCAAAGTCCTGAACATCTCAGATTCACTGACTATGATCTTACATTTTTCAAGTANTTTTAGTTTTTTATGTTTTCCTTTTAAACTTTTGGCTTTTGAGACCCCCACTCCCTAAGAAATTCCAATACCCTTTTATGGGGTCGGTATGAATATTTTCATTTTCACTATCATGATGATTGAGGTATTAAGCTTAATTATGGCCAACAGGCCAAGCACTGCTTTCATATTTGTCTGTACAGTGTAAATCACCAGCAGGCTAGCGAGAAAACTTGTATCAGTTCATGTCAAGAGTGTGAGGTAAATTCCTTGCATGGTTGCTTTATAGGCGGTACATGATGCTGAGGCAGTGCTGGAACTTGCAAGGAAAAAAGCAGAGGCTTCAAAAGAAGCTCTAGCTCAGGTACATTGTTAAAAATATAAAAATTTCATTTTTAAAATTATTTTTTGAAACAGAGTATCATACAAGGAATTAACTTTTATTTCAAAAGATTAAACAGTATTGACTTACATGACCAACAACTTATTAACCTCAAATGTTCGGTCTTTATAGGAAAATTTCAAACCAAGACCTTGCTGTATTGACCAAGCAATAGCGAGGTCAATATGGCAAGGCCGAGGTTTGAGATTTTCCTGTAATGAGGGAATATTTGAGATTAATAAGTTGTTTATTATATGGCTTTTTGCTTTGGTTTTGTAGGCCCATAGTCAACCCGTGGGCATTAAGGAAAGCTATTGCCCTGCAATTGGCCAGTCAGAGCCTGTGTTATATCAGCTACGAACGCAAACCATATAATTAAGACAGTATTACTGGATAAATTTTTGAAGTTGACTCAAATTCAAACTTTCATTTTTTAATGCAGACATTACATCACTATAGAATTGAAAACACCTATAGGTGTGCAGGCCTCTGTTTGTGCCTTTCAGATGTGATTTTAGTAATCTATTAATTCAGGATATTAAGACTTTATTGACAAAAAACTCTCTTTTTCAGGTGAAGCTAAAACTTAGAGAGCAGCACAAAAAAGACAATAATTCTGCAGGTGACAAAACTGTTATGCAAGGAAAACATGTCATATCGTTGATATTGTACTAACACGTTCATTTTCCCATTTCTTGGCAAATCATTTGATTAGCAAATTCTCTGTATTTAGAGTGATTGCAGTGAGGTACATGTTGGTCATATATAGTTGGTATAAAGAGCTTTAGATCAAGAGGTCTTGTTTCAACTTTGGCCTTGGTATTTGAGCTAACCTGACAAAAATACCAACTGTAACATTACTGTAACTTGCAATGGACTGTCATTCTATATTCTCCTACTCGACTGTCCTACAGAACCATGCTAAAGAAATCTCATGAGCCCTTCACTCTCAAATATCTTTACTTCTTTTGCTGATATTTTTTATTCAAGACGGCACCGACCTAAAGGGCATGAAAGTGATGATAAAAGACCTTGATGATGTATTGTTCAGAGATGTTGGTGGCAAGATTGCTGCAGATGGCAGGTGGGACTGTTATGGACTGGTTACTGACATATAACAATCATGCTTACATTTTGCAAGGTTCAAATCTTTTCAATACTCTGGCTTGGCAACAAAACACTTTCATACCAAACATTTTCTTACTTGTGTTTACAGATGGCCCCTCCTGATTGATTCCACTCCACAGAGTTCCACCTTCTTGCGGTACCGTGACACCAACTTCATAAATGCACTCAGTCCTAAGCACATGGAGCCTGATGTGATTCGTTTGGCAATTCTAGGAGGTTTAAGGTTTGTAAAGGAAGTGACGCACAGAAATCACATGTAGGATGCATCTTGCCAATTAGTACCATTACAGATAAATGACTGAGAAATATGACATGGGAGGGAAGGGTGATATCTGCAATGGACCAAGGGTACCTACAGATACTGAAAGATGCAACTGATGAAAGTACAATTGAGTTATTTGCCTGAGCATTGTTTATCTTTATAGGTATGGCAAGCCAGTAGTCTTGGATATGATGGATGTAGACATGTTTGACACTGTCACGATGAAATTTGATGAAGTGAAAAAAGGCCTCATGGCGTCACTGATGTCTAAAGATCTTCTGAAAGATAGCAAGTGAGTGGCAAGGCTGAATCAAATTCAATCATAATCTTAACGAGGGAAACCAACTTAAGTCACTTTAAAGGTATTTACAGAAGGATTCTCCAAAAGACCAAACATTTGACTGTCAGTTTCACATTGTCAGTGAAATAGTTAATAGAACAATGCAGACTGCATGACCTCCTGTAAACTGTTCAAGAACAAATCTTCCAAAGTCCTGAACATCTCAGATTCACTGACTATGATCTTACATTTTTCAAGTATGTAGCACTTCATGCTTTGATGATTTTTTTTTTACAGATTTTTGGAGCTTGTCCAACCAACAGACGGGGAGGAGTACAGCAAGACAAGTTTCCTGGGAGCAAGAATAGAGAGATTTTCATTTATCATAATTACACAACAGTGGCATCCTCCAGAACACTTAATGGAACAGACATACCCTATAAGAGTCATCATTCCTTCAAGACCAGATGTATAACAATTAATTCAAATCAACCTCTGTTGACAGCTAGTCACTGACAGAAGCTTCTTCTAATTATCAGTGCACATGGGTTTTTTTTTTTGCTATATATATTTGCAACATTTTATACTTTCATTTTATACTTTCACAGTTGATCCTTCTTGCTATCAAAGTTGATGATGTCTTGTGTAGTGGGACAATTTGAATTGCACTGTCGCTTCATGCACAAAATCTATAGTTATAACATATGTAACTAAATTGTGCATAAAGTGTTTAAGTGGATGTAATCAACCTTGATGGCAAGAAGGCATAACAGAATCAACCACCTGAAAATATTCCGTTCCAGTTGGCAAACAGGGACAGCACAATCCCAAATTTCAAATGAAACTGGCTGGCACAGGTCATGTATTTTTTACAGTGAAATGTGTTTTTCCTCCACACGGAAGTAAAAGAGGAACTAAAGAACAGTTTTATACTAGTCTCATGTCTGCAAAGGAAACTTATTACTACACTAAAAGTTATTGTGCAAAACCTTTATTGAATGTATTTAATAAGTTTAATCTTAAGGTTTTCTCCATCTTTATGTTTGTTAATCCCCTACAAATTGCAGCACCTAACACTAGAAATGATTGCTTCTATACGAAAAAATATATTGCACAAATGTTGGATATCTATGAAAGTATAATTTAATACCCTAACCCTACATAATTTTATTGTATCTCCATTAAACTTATGTCTATTTCATGCTAAATAACTAAGAGATACATGTAAATATTTAACCTGACACAGGTACATCTTGAAAATAAAGGATGCTGTACAAACCATCTTGTAAGTTGTTCAGTAAAGCATCAAACTGAATCCAATTGTTTTTATAATATTTTACCCAAACAAAAAGAATACTAACCAACACGTTTACAATCTATATCTCTTGAATACCATGCAGTGTGAAAAACTAGACTGAGAAATTTTTGGTGGGCTTGATGTATTCTTTGGACCAGTTCTCCATACGTTACAATGTCATGGTCAAAAGGTAATGGTTTCCCAAAGAATTATGTCACTCAGGTATAAAATCCACATGAGGTCTGTTTTCAAACAAGTTGTCAACAACAGAAGAGTCAGCCATGGTTGTGACATCACCGATGTTCTTGTCATTCTTTGCAACCTGCCGCAAAACTCGGCGCATGATCTTGCCAGAACGAGTCTTTGGAAGCCCAGGTGAATTTTGAATGACATCAGGAGTTGCAAAAGGTCCAATTTTGGTACGAACTAAAAATAAAGATGTTGCAACAGAAATTCAGTCTTGATCTGTGTACCAGAAGTGAATGCCTCATAATTGGAAATTAATGCCTGTACTTACAATAACAATATTATAATAATCATTAATATAATCCTAACAGTTAATTAAATGCTGCTGTTTAACAAGCTAAAAGGAGATTGTTAGGCACTATGATAAGGACTTAAAATATATGAGTAAGAAATTCCCATCAAGGCTTTTTATCACTCTTAATTCCCTTGAATAAGCACCCATCCTTGATTTAAAGCAATGTATCAAGATTATTATACAACTTATCAAAACATGAAACAATCTAAGATAATTTTGTTACCTTTTTGTTTCAGTTCTTTGATGAGCTGTTCACCAAATGCCACTCCCTTGAGAAAAGAGAAATAAAAATAACACGTTAGTTTATACAATATAATACAATTATAACAATATTATGTTCCTAATTAGGCCCATGATGATTTTTAAGTCGGACTGAGAGGCAAACTGAATTCTGTAGATGGTATGGATGCAAACCACTTAAAAATAGTTCATTGGTGATCATTAATTATTATTAATTTACTTTTATGATACATGTTATAATTCTGGTAATGGTCAGTAGCCAAATAGTTACATCCATAATTAATAAACAAATAATATGTGAGTACATTGCATTATTATTTAAAAGTTGCACAGACATTTTATTAATTAAAAGTCTTTGAAAATAACATGCACTTCTTTAGGCAGGATGCGGTTCAACTCCACAATTGTTTGAGGGTAGAATGAGTGTTTTCACCAGCGTGATAGATACATCATTTAATGACTACCTTGTGCTATAAAGAAAAAGAAACCCCTCATAATTTCCTATGGGAAGGTATATAATATTACCAAGGTCATTACTGGTGCCAATCCCGCGACATAGATAAGTCAGGTGCTCAAGCAAGGGGGAGACACTTCCATGAAGTGAAAAGTCTTGTATATTTGAATACAAGGGGGACAGTTCACTATGGATGGCATAAGATTATTTGGCTGTAGGAATGAGAAGAATAAACAAGGTACATGTATGACTTGCCATCATTTTTGACATTCTTTTGTTCCACAGGCTAGAAATAACTTACCTCCATCAGTGTTGTGAAACAGTAGATCCCTTCCCCTTTTTCTTTGTGAGGACAGGACACCTGTGTACAACAAAAGAAAAAAGAAGCCAAGTTAAGGCTAACATGTCTTTACCGGAGTATTCTCCAAAGAATTAATATCTTCCTGAGGTTGAAAGAATGAATTTTTATTAATGCTTCATAGCAATGAAGTACCAAACTTTGCTTATTCTCTCTGGGATCCCTCATCTGTAGTCATACCTATATTTGGAAACCAGTATTGCAACCTGTAAACTGCATTAATGCAGCAAAAATATGTAACTGCATTCAATTCATGTACATTGTAGACTATTTTGAACAGGGAAAGATCAGCTTACAACAGCAGCTTCGGTGACAGCTTCGTGTTCCACCAAGGCACTTTCAATTTGTGCTGTACTCAACAAGTGACCAGAAACATTCATGCAGTCATCTGTTCTCCCAGTGATCCAGTAATAACCATTACTATCACGTTTACATCCTACAAAAAACAGTGAAGTTATCACACAACTGATAAGAAACATTCACGCAGTTCTTTGTTCTCCCAGTTATTCAGTAATAACCATAATTTTACAATCTCATTTACATCCTACAAAAAAAAAAGCAAAATTATTGTTAGAACTGATAGGAAACATCAGTTCTTCGTTCTTCCAGTGATCCAGTGATAACCATTGCTGTTAGGTTTACAACCTGCTACAAGCAATTGAACTACAGTAAAACTGATACAAAGAAACATCTGTTCTTCCAGTGATACAATAATTACTCTTTCTGTTATACTTTATTAACCACAACATTAAAAGTCACATAAAAGTAAAGGTGTATGAAGGATAGGTACAGTCAGTTATGCTAGGACCTAAGGTGGAATTTTTGTGTGCTAATTTTTTTATTTAAATTAACCAATTAACAACATGTGCCATGTTTCCTGATGGGTAACTCACCATCTCCTGTGGTGTAGTAACCATTGAACTTAGAGAAGTAGACCCGTTCAAATCGCTCATGATCCCCAAAGATTGTTCTAGCCATGCCTGGCCAAGGTTGTTTCATCACCTTCATGGTGAAATGCATACACAGGTATTATTCACACATCACACTGTACGTACAGGGTGATAAATAATAATTGTCTATGCAAAAATGTTTAGTACCAAAACAGTCACAACCAACTTTCATCACTGTCACAAAAGAAAGGCATTTTATTGCATATTATCACCTAATAATAGTTACTTAATAAATAATAATATACTTAATCATATAAGAGTACTTAAACATAAATATTTATTATACATTTTACAGTTTCCAACCACCCCGAGACATGGAAACCCACTCTAAGCAGCATTTTCAACTTCAAGAAGGACTGTTTTTTCCCACAAATTTGCTGCCAGTGATATATCCCTGCATCTGTCTTGAAATTTATTTTCCTGCATATTTTTACATTTATCGTTTTACATTTTGATTTACGTTATACATTCAAGTAACTGTCAAAGTGTGTCTCAATGTGCAGTTGTAAAGGACAAAACTTCAGTCTGTCAAAGTGAATTTATTTTGCAATATATTCTCAAAGAAGGCTAAACAAACTGATTGAATAACCATTTAACCTTAGAACTGGACAAGAGATGCAAGGTTACTGAGAGATAAATGTAGTGTCAGTTAATGTACTATAAAACCAACAATTTCACTAAAGTGGAAACAAGAGATAGACAGTTTAACTCATTATTAATTTGTTACCAGAAATCCCTCACAGGCTCCTTCAAGTTCATTGCCATGTTCATCAACAATAGCTGGCACAACTCCAAAGAAAGGGAAAGACTGCAAGACAAAAGAAAAGAAAACAAACAAACAAGAATAGTTATGAACACCAAAAGTAACAAATAATACGAATTAGCCTTACACACGAGTCAAAAACACAACTGAATGTGACTAACTTTGTCTTGCACAGCATAAATGGGATGACAGCCCATTATGGGTTGACAACTTATTAATTAGACACTTGATGGGTAACCTGGAAACAAACTGCACAGAACCACCATCACATATCCAGGGTCACTGAGTTGCACTACAGCTTGTGACTCTATACTGAGAAAACTGGAGTACTAACTTAACGATCCAGTTGAATTTAAAAGACGACAGTTTCTGCACAGCCATCTTATTATTAATGGCTTTTTTCTTCAATGGACTGTGCAAAGTTTAGGTAACCATTTTAAACAGCCATGTTATAAAACACTGCCAAATTTCTAAGTCTTTTTAGTGGTGGGACTAACAAGTTTCTGCGGGTCATTTTTACTAGGCAATCAGTGTTAATCATCACTTTGCAGGTTTCCAAAGTAGTAACATCGATTATCTAAAAAGTAAACAAGAAAATGTCTGAAACTGATGCTTATCACTCTGGAGACTAAAAGGAAAGTCTTACCGCTGCCCCTGGCCTCATGGGTGTCGCTCCAGGAAGAGACGTGATCACATGTCCTCCCTAAAAGGAAATATTCTGCTTTTACTGTTTTTGGAGATAGAAAGGGGAGTGGGAAACTTAAAACAATATAAACCTTATGGAAGAGGGTGCACCACTGGTTCCATTCAAAAGATTTAAACATGAAGCATTTGTTAGATGTAGTTGTAACTTGTAGGGTCGTACACTGTACAAAAACAGACAGCAATACACTGGAGAGAAGGCAATCATATGATTAAAGCCCAAAGCAAAGAGGACACTGTGACTACGTATATTTAGTTAAAACACAGAAGTCGGCATTCCTTTATTAGATATTTATGTACCGGTAAATTTGTGAATACTCACCGTCTCCGTCTGCCAGTACGTATCAACGATGACACATCTCTCATCACCTACTGTGTGATAATACCAAAGCCACGCTTCAGGATTTATAGGCTCCCCAACAGTTCCAAGCACTTTCAGAGATTTACGATTGTACCTGTAATTTTTTAAATAGATTCAACATAAAAATAAAGCTGTAGAATTTTTGTATATGAAACTACTGTGTTTCCTCTGTTAAAAACCCTTCAGTTGGCATTTCTTTTGAACTTGAGTTGGTGGACCCTGCATTAATTTGACTCCTGCAATTTCTTTGAGCCAGGTATTTATTAAGCAAGGGTTTTTATTCATTGTTTTAGACAGCCATGGATCTACTTTTCACTATAATCACACCACAGGCTGATTATACCTTGAAAGAATGTGAGCACTTGCATGATTACTCTACATGTACCTTAGAGACTTGGCAATTATAACTTGTTTTGTGATTCTGAAGTAATTTCCTATAAATTTTTCCTTTCCTGCTTGCAATCAGTATATGTCATATTATACTTTCATGTATGTCACCTATTCAAAATAACTACTTAATATGTTCAAAATCCACATGCAACAGCTTATAGGTTTACTGACTGCTGCCTCTAAGGATTTTTTTCCTAATCTGGCACAAAAAAAGCCGTTTGTGAACTGTTCATCTAGTACATGTAAAGCAAACTAATGTTCCACTTTTGTTGTTATAGTTTCATTATTCTGTTGGCTACCTGGTGCATTATACATACCTCATAAATGAAAAGGGCAGCATTCACAGGGGTTTCATTAGGGGCCAGGCACCAGACAAATTGACCGGCTGTGAGGAGGATTTTGCCTGCTTTGTTTGACCCTCTAGGGAAAACTTTCTCTTTAAAGGAAATTCGGTTCAAAATGTTTTGCCCAGCTGTGAAAAGAACTTGCCCTCCTGATAAAAATGTTCATGAAATCCTTGCATGCACTGCCTATTAGGTACACTAGCATTTACAACACTTTTTTTGGATCTGGAAATAGGACCATGAAGGGGAATGATATCAAACAAATATCAAAGAAGTGATAATTAATATAATCCTGTAAAAACAAAAGAAGTGTTGAATGACAAGTTACTGTGATCACTTACTTTTGGACAACAGCTTTACCAAACTTCATCAGGGCTCTGATAGCCGTTGGAGCTGTGTAGAACTTGGAAACATTGTACTTGTCAACAACATCCCAGAAACGGCCAGAATCAGGGTAAAAAGGAGTGCCCTCAAACTGCAGTTAAAAAAGATTGACACTTGTTATGACTTTGAGCTGTGTGACAGAACTGTTATTAGTGGAGTGGCTTAGGCTAAACTTAATTTATGTAGAACTACTACATGAAGACCTGTCAACTCCAGGAGGAAATTCCAATTCATCCATTCTACTGTTAGTATTGAATGCAAAATCTTCCTGAACATATGGGGTAACTTGGGACTTAAGAGCTTATGGGAGACCTCCTCTGTCTGTGATACATGTATAACAGGAGAATACTCTGTGCGCATCACAGATATTTTTGGCCAATTTTCCAAGTGATTTCCTGGATATGGATTTGCTGTAAAATACTGGTCAGGATATGGAGTGTTTGAATGTTGGAAGGTTTTGACAGGAGACCATGCTATCATGAGTCATTAACTGCTGTCTAGTCCAACGCAATGTCGAGGTTGTTAAGTTGCATTTGCATGCATTGTTTCTTCTACAACAACAGTTACTCTAAAGTATTGAACACAGTACTGTACTTAAATGTTGAAAGTTATTCAGAAGTGGTCTGGTAGTCATCAGTCATTAGGCGCTACCTCCTTCAAGTTAGCACTACATGAAGTGGATAATTTACATACCAGCACACTTGTTGCACCATTTGCTAATGGTCCATAAGTGATGTAACTGTGACCAGTGATCCACCCGATATCTGCCGTACACCAGTACACCTCTCCCGGATGATAGTCGAATACATATCTAAAGGGTATATATTTCAAATAATGTGGAAGTTAGTGGACATCAACTACTGAAGATAGAGAATAAGATGCAGAAACTACTGAGAACAAAATTAATATTGCCAGCTCTTCAGTGCTGGCACTGCAGAGATAACTCGCTGACTGGAATAAACTTAATTACCTTTACATTAACCTCATAAGAAGACTTATCAAAAGAAAACATCCCATTCTGTGGGAAAAAGATTCAGTCCAAATTCTCATTTACTTACTTGAAGGTAGCGGCAGTGTAAAGCATGTAGCCTCCTACAGTGTGAAGGACACCTTTTGGCTTGCCAGTTGATCCACTGATGAAGGAAAATTTAGGGACAGAGATAAGTTCATGCAATAAGATTACAGTACCGCTCAAAAGTAAGTTACCACCTCTCGTCACATTTCTTAGTCTCGACTCGAGAGACGAGAGTCTCACCTCGCATAAACCAGTGAAGCGTATATTTTGGAATAAATTACAAGCAGTTAGTTTGGGAGAAAACAATTAATTTCTCATGACGTGGTGAAGTTTACTATGCCAAAGCATTCAGTTTTTCTGGCTCTTGTTTTGCACACCGCTTCATGAGCAAAAAAACTTAAACTTGCAAGCCAAAAACTTAAATGGAAGTAATTTAAAACGAACGCCAAAGATGTTAGGGAAAACCCACGTTCAAGAGACTATGGTAAATTCCTAGCACATTTATTTTGATAATTTCAGCAACTATTATTTTATGTATTTAAATGAAATACAAATTTACAAACACTAGGGGACTGCTTTAAAAATAAAATAATCCAATATAAGACATCATAAAGTCATTATATTTTTATAAATAAGTTGACACATTTTGTCCCTTAAGGCCATGCACACCGGTTATCTTGTAACCTGAGCTCGACTGATTCAACTGGAAGGCTACAGGGCCCAGGATATTGTCATCGGTAGTCAGCAAGAGTTGCAGGTTATCTTTATAATAACCTATAATTATTATAGTTGTTGATAAGACGACAAGAAACTTGGGGTCACTGGAGGCCACTGTCAATAATTATGTTAAAGACACTCCATCAAGGTATACTTTTTAGTGGCCGCTAAATATTGTACATATGAATAATTTATTGTGGTTTTGTCATAATATCAACTGAACATGTAGCCTTGCTGACTCAATCCTATTCCTAATCACATACTGACATACATTATCTGCTGTGTTTATGCGAGGCAGCCCCACACATCAGATTCATTAGCAAGTGCACAGTTGAACTTCCCCCAACGCATTTTCAAACTGTAGCTTTCTGGCCAGAATCGAACAAGCATCAACAAAACACTTTTTGTCCCTAACTCGTCAATAAATCATGACCTGAGATCAAATGTTTTTTTGTCCTGTCTGCTGTCAGATAATCATAATTATGCTCCCAGCCAGTAAATAACTGAATACCTTGTATAGAGCATGAACAATGGATCCTCAGCATCTGTCCAACATGGCTCACACTTGTCACTTGCACATGACATAAGTTCATGCCACCAACAGTCAACAGCACTGTTAAAATTTGGCTACCAATATAGTGTGGCCAATAAGTGTTTGAAATAGAATGAATACATGTACATATGAAAATAGCAAAATTAATCAATTTTGTTACATTATGGTGTGAATAAAATGTTAAGATACAACATGTTGGATGAGAGTTTAAATTTATGTTCCTTCCAAAAGATAGAGTATACATGTATATATTAAACAATACACTCAATCTGGTGCAAAAATATGCTCAGATATTTGTCTGCAGACATTCTTTGTCCTAAGCAAGCACACATTTTCTGAGAACAAAGCTTGAGGAAAACTGTGAGCTCTGAGGAACAGATAATGTCCAAGAAAAAATATCTGTGCACATTTTCATGCCAAATGGAGGCTACTGTGTTTATTACCCTCCAGTTCAAATATCTTTTGCAGCACTTGGATCTTTTCAAAATGGGGAATATCACTCTAATATTCCCCAGTTTTAGATGTGGCATATTCTGTCACGTGACGTGTATAAACCAATTCCATGCGAGCAAAAACATTTCATGGATTATAAGCTTAAATATACAATTGAGATTTAACTGATGATGTTTCTTAATGAATACAATGAATTTAAATTTTTCACTGATTGTTTGTTTTTACATCTCTTTTGTAACAAAATTTGGAAACAGGTAGTTATGGAATATATAATCACCTGTATTGGAGGACAGGGTTTCTTGGCAACTGGTGATGTCCCTGGACTATTTGTGGAGCCACCACTCACATGCTGAACAACAATACAAGTTTCTACAGTAAATCCTCTGCAAAAAAGGATAGTATTTGGTTAAATACAGGAGACTTACACTTTGCTTGATTAAGTCCATAGACCTTTGACCAGCTAAAAATCAATTATCATCAGCTGTTTATATATTTTTGACTATTTCAGGGACTTTGACCTTACTCAATAATTATATTATTGAGTAAGCTCAAAGTCCCTGAAATAGTCAAAAATATATAAACAGATGATAACTGATTTTTAGCTGGTCAAAGGTTTATGGATGTAATCAGTTGACAATTATTGTGAACTGTGTTTTCACAGGTAGAACCTCATCTCTTTAATTTAGTGTGTCAACAGGTTTTGTCACTGAAATTAATGAGCAATTCAATACATGACGATTCATGACAATTCAGTTGTCATGATAATTTTGGGGTAGCATGATACCTATTGTTTTTCTTACATTTGGTGGGAAAAATCAGACTATTTCACATGTTTCAACAAAGATTTACTTAAAAGTGTGAATCGTGAAATATGTTATCTCAAGTGAATTTTGCATGGAAATCTCAGTCAAGTCTGAAACGTTTGAAGAATAAGCAATTGAAGATAATTTAAATCATGGCAACAACACCTTCAATAAACTATTTTTTTTTTCGATACAAATGAATAATTTGTCAAGGACCAATTACACCAGGTATCTCCAGCTGGCTGATTAAGACTGGTAACTAATACTCACTGATCTTTGCACTTCCCTATTGCTTCATCAGAAATCGCCTTCAGGTCAATAAGCTTGGTTCCTCTGTATGAACCATCTGAAAGACATTTTTTTACAATACACAATCATTACATGTATCATTAAAAATATTTGACAATAATGCAATTTACATGTGATTTCATTCATAATAAAGTACATGTAGTTATGAAATCAATTTTACAAATTAAAGGATTTATTTAATATAATTTAACAAGAAATTGTTTAAACATTCAAAAAATATTACAGGCTAATTTAACTGAGCAGACCTCAAGAGGTACATGGATATTGTTTAATAATTCACTTACCAGCAGTGACAAGAATTTTACAAGTTGAATCAAGTATACGCTCAGCCAATGATTCGGCAGAGAATCCTCCAAACTATGAAAAACATGAAAACAATTATAACTGATAAACAAGCAAATGGTTGATAAATAAATTAATAAACACATAAGGTGTAATACAGAAGAAAAGTTTCTACTATGGCCATCCGGGGAACAGAGTTTACTGGCCATTGTGAAGAGTTGGCCATTTTTGAGATGTTAAAATAAGAGCAAATCTGTCAACTTGGACGAAAATATGTGTTGTGGGGAGGTGGCCATTAGTAGAGGTTTGAATTTAAACAAAAAGCTCGAGTAAGCTTAAACTGTGCAGTTAACAAAAACTGAAACAAGATACAACTGAATGACAATGACAATGATGATGATATCTTTTATTTAAAACCAACAAAATTTAAGCCATTGGCTTGCAGAGTCATGTAAAATTTAAATTTATAAAAAAACACAATATAGTCGTCTAGGTCTAAAAATCTTCACTTACTAGGTGCAAAGTAATTACATAATATACGTATTATAACTAGACAAAAGCGTAGCACACTAGTAAAAATGTGTAATTCCATTATTTGTAATCATTAATGATCATAAAAGTCTGTGTAGCAATTTAAACCAGCTGACTTACCACAATTGAGTGAACAGCTCCAATTCTTGCACAAGCCAACATGGCAACAACCAACTCATTTATCATTGGCATATAAATTGCTACTCTGTCACCTTTCTGGACGCCTGATGTTTATTATACAAAACACAATGTACATGGTCATTAATATATTCACATACTTCAAGTTAAACAGCAAAAATAACAAATAAAATAACAAATAAAATAACGTATATTGACTTGTTTGTCTTGTGAATCATATCATCAGGCCCACCAGGCCGGTTTCTGTAACATGAAGTGACCAGGAATATTTCTACTCCCCCCTAGATGAGATGCTAGTCCATCACAGGGTTACCCCCAGCATTAAATTTGCCGGTACCCATTTGTACACCTGGGTGGAAAGAGGCACTGTGAGAGTAAAGTGTCTTGCCCAAGAACACAACACAATGTCCCCGGCCAGGGCTTGTGTGAACCCGGACTGCTTGATCTGGAGTCGAGCACACTAGCCATGAGGCCATTCCACCTCCACAAGTAAGAGGTCTAGATGGCTAGATATTGGCCCACTCAGGATTTGGTTTATCTTGCCTACTTGCTAGGCACATAAATATACAAATAAATATATCGCTGGTGGCATATTTTCACCATCAATCATTGGTTAATAGTAAGCAGATCTCACAGGAAATGTCCTTAGATGAGTGAGGCTCATGGGAAACAGCAGCTACACATGGATCTGGGTTTGAAGAAGCATGTTATTTCATAGCTAAGTTCTTTTCCCATTTCACTGATTCGGTAACTATGTTTGTGAGTGCAGTTTACTATTCAGAGAAAAAAAAGCGCTATTCTTACCCTTGTCTTTCAACACGTTAGCAAACTTGCATACTTCTTGAAGAAGTTCTTTGTATGTAATCTTCTTACTATCTCCAGGAAAATTTCCTTCCCTACATTTGAACAAGGACAGATAAAAAAACTGTAAATATCAGACATGTTCAAGATACACAAGGTTACATCCCAGGGAGACCCTAATGTGAAAGAGGGCATAGAGAAGGGATGGAACAGGAATGGTGGTGTGGAGAGAGCACTCGCCTCCCACCAATGTGGACTGGGTTTGATTCCGTCCTGTGGCCTTGGGCTTTACGTGGGTTTGAGTTTATTTTTGGTTGACCTTGGTTGTTGCTCAGAGTGTTTTTCTCCAGGTACTTCCTCCCTCCACAAAAACCAAAAGCTACAAATTCCAATTCAACCAGGATAGAGGATGCACATGAAAACCAGCTAAGGCTGATGTGGCTTGCTCTCTAAATATTGTAATTTATTTACTTTTAATTATTTATTTTACAGTCCTGGATGCTTGTTGTCTCACTTTGGTCTCCTCACGTAGGGTGTTGAGGACAAAATGCCACTGTTTTTAGTCATCAATATACCTTTAAGGGTTGCATGCCAAATACCATTAATCAGCTTAAGGAACAGATTATGTCTGCAGACAAATATCCAAGCATATTTTTGTGCCAAATGAAAACTATTGTTTATATATCAGTCAGAGAAAAAGATCTAACTCTCTAGAGGTTTTGATCCCCTCATAAAATCACTGCAGTGTATACTTGCCAGTCTGTCTTAAAGTACTGGTATATCTTTTAGGGGTCAAATAAAGCTCAAGCAATTTACTGATGAGCATTCCCACGAGTCCCCCTCAACCAAAGAGGAATTTTCCCTATAATTCATACACATAGCAAATTTCCCATGTGTTTACATGGGAAAAGAGTTCAACTCCAACAGGATTACTGTGGTACACCAACACGCCCTCTATTTCATAATTTGTCTCGAAAGCAAAAATCCTCAATAGCTGTTTCCCCAAAGCCAATACAGGCAACGTTTGTGTTGATTTACATGGACCAGAATTGTGGGTTTCCAGTGAGTAACTGATATTGCATAACACATGTATAAACGAGACCAAAACCCTCTTGTATGTACATCCTTTGTGACCAGTTCATTCGTTTTTGCCCCTACTGGAAAAAAGGCAATTTCATGTCTACCTAACAGCTCAGGCAGAAAATGCTGTTCCTAGAATTTTTGCTTTTTTAACATACCAAACCTAATGATACTCCAACACACTCTTTAATCTACAATGACTACTAGTATCTAGATTAATTATATGTCTCAGACGGATAATTTGCCTCTAGTACAAATATAGCCATTATCTGGGACTCAACTCACCCGTGTATGTATGGGATGGGATGTCAAATCTCATACATACTCGAGTGTTATAAATTTCTTAACTGTTTCTGGAAAGATATACATCATTAACAATGTTAATGCTGTCCTTAGACAAGTCGTCTGCTTGCACAGTCTTCTGCTTGCACATCTTCTTCACATGAAAGGTATGAAGACATGACTGATCACATGAAACACATGCATGAAACGTATTTCATGTGTTCCACATGAAAGCTATATTTACGAACGTAATAGCAGCTGATCAACTGCCCTTAAAAGTTCTTCAGCTACATGAAAAGACGCACAAACACTTTTACGAGAATCCATCTACACGGTGCATACTCAGTAAATGAACTTAGCTTTTGTTAGAGTTCACTTCACGAGTTTCTCTTTGCAATCAAACCAAATTCCCGCGTGACTAGCATGGTCTGGTCAGTACTTCCTTCTTTAAGAATTTTAATACTTACCAGTAAAAAGCTACATTATCCCCAAGTCCTTTTTCCACATTTCTGTCTAACACATTGTATGAAATATTCGTCACAGCTCCTTCCATCCATTTCACAAACACGTTTCCCTCACGGGTGTCAAAATTGAAGTCCATGAACTTCTCTTTGTTTGGCGGGACTTTCCAGTAATATTCACTTGCGATATCTCCCCAAAAAGCCGCTGGGTCCTCAATGGATTTTTGATACAGCTCTCTGTATTGATCCATACTGGACACATATGCCTCAGATTGGATTTCCTTTGAGGGATAAAACCAACCCACCAGCTCCTTGTCGTGCTCGTTCGAGTCCGCCATGATCGATCGTACTGGGAAGCAAAGGAAGCACGAATCCCAGTGGGGAGGGTGCGAACTCGTGGGAGGGGAGGTGAGTCGTCGATCATGCCAGCGCGGTGATTACCAAGGAAACGTGATGGACTAAACAAGGTATTTTTTTACACTCCTTTTTTATATAAGAATATATTTGAAAAGAATATCCACTCTGGAATTTGCGAAATTTTAAGAGTATTTGAAAAATAAACCCGAGGCTGAGATTTTGAAAAGAATATAATTTTGTTTGTTGAAAATTTATAAGTGCAATACAATGATATGCTTTTAACTAAACCATATAAAATTCTTCCTTTCTCTAAACGGCTACATGCCAAAAAAAAAAAAAAAAAAAAAAAA